GGTCGCCCAAAAACGTACATATGGCGATTTATGCATAGTGCACCTTTAAGTGTTGAATTGATTAATTCCTTAAAGTGGTAAATGTTTTACATGCTCGCTTGTTTATTTTAGACTATGTCAGTGACTCAGATGTACAAACTGGAATTATTTACACAATTGACGTATTGTCTGTATTCCATAGTCTACAAGGAGAACTGTGTTCAGCTGTGGTGGTCTGGAAGGTGAAATGGACAGAACTACATGCAGTGTCAGCATACCTGTCTACCGTAGTAAAACTACAGTGAGTGATTACTTAGATATACCAGTAATTAATGCTCAACTGTGAATACACCGGTAAAGCTTTAAAATGTTGTCCTTAAATGATAAAGACTCGAGCTAAAAGCAGTGACAAAGCAGTAACTCAATCTAATTAAAACAGCTTTGATCTTTGAGTGATTCAGTGCCTTCAGAAAGTATTCACACCCCTTGACTTTTTGCACATTCTGTTGTGTTACAGCCTGAATTTAAAAATGGATCAAATTGTGATTTTTTTTATCACTGGCCTACACACAATACCCCAAAATGTCAAAGTGGAATTATGTTTTTTGAAATGTTTACAAATTAATAACAAAATGAAAAGCTGAAATGTCTTGACTGAAAAAGTTTTCAACCCCTTTGTTATGGCAAGCCTAAATACGTTCAGGAGTGAAAATGTGCTTAACAAGTCATTAATCCCAACTTGGGAAATTGTTTTATCACAGCATGCATCATCAATGACTTAAAATGACAGGACACGCAACAATGACCAACACATGATAAAAACCTAAACCTCTCTGTGGAACATCTGGGCAGGATGGACCTGCTACTGAAGCTGCTCCTGTGTTGCATTAGAGCCCCGTGGAGTGGGTGTGTGTCATTGTCCATGATCATGTGGGTTTTTACTTGCAGCCTTTTTATGAACACGTCTTGCATTGATTGCAGGCTGCAGCCAATTGTAGCACTGGCTTTCTTAATGATTTTGTCAAGCTTGTTTAAGTCCTCCTTAGCTAAATTCCCTTTCCAGCACACAATGGCATAGGTCACTACACTCGCCACGACACTGCTATAGAACATACAAAGCATTTTGTTACATACATTAAAAGATCTAAGCTTCCTTAAAAAGTACATTCTGGATTGGGCTTTCTTGTAGCCACTGAGAATCCTCCTTCCAGTTCAGTTTGTTGTCCAGTATTACACCTAAGTACTTATAAGAGTCAACAGTGCCAATCTCTTCACCATTAACAGAAATGGGCTTAAAAACAAATGTATTTTTACAAAAAATCTACCACTAGCTCCTTGGTCTTCAGTACATTCAGGTCCAAGTAATTGGCCTCACACCACTTCACAAAGGACTCAGTTGTATCTCTGTGATGAGCACAGTCTCCTCTCATTACACAGCTTACTATAGCAGTCAGAGAATTTCTGTAATTGGCTCAGTTCATTGTTGTGTGTGAAGTCATTTGTGTAAAGGGTAAACAGAAAAGGTGACAGGACAGTCCCCTGCGGCGGCCCCGTGTTTGTACATATCCGATCTGATACTGCCTGGTTCAGTCTTACGAACTGTGGTCTATTGGTCAGGTATTTCACAATCCAGTTGATTGTGTGTGGGTTTATGTGAATGTCCTTTAGCTTTTGGGCCAAAAGGTGGGGTTGTATGGCATTTAAAGCACTGGAAAGTCAAAGTACATTGTTATCACCACACAGCCTGGCTTCTCCAGGTGCTCATATACTCTGTGGAGGAGATAGAGCAGAGCATATTCAACACCAGTTTTTGGGTGGAAGGCAAATTGCAAAGGATCCAGATAGGCTGCCACTTCCACTCTTAAGGGTATTAAAACCCACTCAAAGGTTTTCATGACTTGTGATGTCAAAGCCACTGGTCTAAAGTCTTTCAGTGCAGTCCCTCCTGCTTTCTTTGAGATGGGCACTATGCAGGATATTTTCCATTTAGTAGGAATATCTGAGAGCATTAGGGACAGGTTGAAAATATACTGCAGTATGAAAGCCAGTTGATTAGCACATACCTTGAGTGATCTGGCTTTAACCCCATCAGGCCCTGCTGACTTACTGGGATTGATCCTCTTCAACCGCTTCACCACTTGTTCCTCTGAGATGCTCATGGACTCAGTGCTTCCCAGATCAGAGTCCAGCACCTCCCCTATCTGCTGTAGCTCTGCTGAGAAATCGTACTGGTAAAATCTGGTAAAAAATCAAATAAAATAAACTCTGTGGCTCTGTCCCTTCCTTCATCACTCTGTAGTTGTCCTCTGGTGCTGTAACCTGCTCTGTTCTTCATACCATCCCAGATATCCTTCATGTTATTCGCATGCAGCTTGCGTTCTAGCTTCAGTTTGTATTCTTGTTTGCCTTTCCTGATCAGCCCTTTAATTTCCTTCTGCACTACTCTCAACTCATCCCTATTTCCTGTTTCAAAAGCCTTCTTCCTGTTCAATGCCTCTTTGATTTATTTTGTGACCCATGGCTTATTATTTGCATAGCATTTCACCGTTTTGCTTGGCACAACATTGTCAGTACAGAAGTTAACATAGTCTGTTATACATTCAGAGAGACCATTAAGATCCTCCTCCCAGTCGTCTATAAATAGATTCTCCAGTTTCGTGTGTCCATTCGTGAATCCCCGCCTGAGTGACGCGTTGCCTCTGGACCAGTGGGTGGTACTTTGGTAGCAGCTGGACAAGGTTGTGGTCAGACTGTCCAGCGGAGGCAGAGCAGTCTAGCAGTAGGCATCTTTCACATTGGAGTAGAGAAGGTCAATGGTCTTGTCCAGACGAGTTGGAACTTTAACATACTGTTTGAAGGTAGGAAGTGTCGCGGACAGCAAACAGTGGTTGAAATCGCCAGAGATAACAGCCGACTCGAGTGATCGATTGAGTAGGTCTGTGGTGACTTTGTTTATAGTGTCTGTGGCCAGTTTCAAATTTGCAGACGGCAGGATGTAGACAATAATCACTATCACGCTAGGGCACTCTCTTGGTAAATAGTAGGGTTGGCAGCCCACTGCTGACAGCTCCACATGAGGGGAACAGACCCTCTTCTTCACTGTGACATGGTTAGTGTGACACCATTGATTGTTCACATACAGACAGACGCCTCCCCCCTACTGTTCCCCGAAAGTTCCGAGCTCCTGTCAGCGCTGATGATCGTGAAGCCAACCAGCTCCACATGGGAATCAGGTATGACCTCCGTTAGCCAAGTTTCCGTAAAGCATACCAGATTTGTTTGCCGATGTAACCTCATATATACAAAGTTGTTGCTGATAGTTCCTCCGTCTTTTTTACAAGCAAGAGGACGTTTCCCATGATAATGGAGATGGAGCTTATTTCCTCTCCTCTTGTTTCGTAGTCGTACACCTCCACTGCATCCCCTTTTCATTCCTTTCATCAGGCTCTATCTGTAGTCGGCCAACTTTACTTGGCTGTAGGGCATGGAGTTCATCCCGGCTGCATGTTATCAAGGTCTCTGCACTATCCGAGTGCAGTCTCTAAACTCACCGCGGCTAGCAGCAGAGTAAACAAATACTTCCAGTCCTCCATCTTCTTAGTGCCGTCAGTACAACCACAAAACAAACTGTTATACGCAAGACAAACAAACAAAAGCAATTGTAGATGTGCGCGCGAATGAGCTCGCTACAACAGGGGTAGCGCCTCGGACAGTGAATTTCAAACACAGATCCAACCACAAAGACCAGGGAGGTTTTCCAATGCCTCGGAAAGAAGAGCACCTATTGGTTGATGGGTAAAAATACATTGAATATCCCTTTGAGCATGGTAAAGTTATTAATTACACTTTGTATGGTGTATCAATACACCCAGTCACTACAAAAATACAGGGGTCCTTCCTAACTCAGTTGCCGGAGAGGAAGGAAACTGCTCAGGGATTTCACCATGAGGCCAATGGTGACTTTAAAACAGTTACAGAGTTGAATGGCTGTGATAGGAGAAAACTGAGGATGGATCAGCAACATTGTAGTTACTCCACAATATTAACCCAATTGACAGAGTGAAAAGAAGGAAGCCTGTACATAATAAAAAAGATTCCAAAACATGCATCCTGTTAGCAAAAAGACACTAAAGTAATACTGCAAAAATTGTGGCAAAGAAATTAACTTTTTGTCCTGAATACAAAGTGTTATGTTTGGGGCAAATCCAATACAACACATTACTGAGTACCACTCTCCATATTTTCAAGCATAGTGGTGGCTGCATCATGTTATGGGTACATTTGTATTCGTTAAGGACTGGGGAGGTTTTCAGGATAACAAAGAAACAGAATGGAGCTAAGCACAGGCAAAATCCTAGAGGAAAACATGGTTCAGTCTGCTATCCACCAGACACTGAGAGATGAATTCACCTTTCAGCAGGACAATAACCTAAAACACAAGGCCAAATCTACACTGGAGTTGCTTACCAAGAAGGCAGTAAATGTTCCTGAGTGACCGAGTTATCGTTTTGACTAAAATCTACTTGAAAATCTATGAAAAGACCTGAAAGTGGTTTTCTAGCAATGATATGATGAAAAACCAATTTGACAGAGCTTGAACAATTTTAAATATAATAAATGGGCAAATGTTGCACAATCCAGGTGTGGAAAGCTCTTAGAGACTTACCCAGAAATACTTAAAGGTAATCGCTGCTGAAGGTGCTTCTACAAAGTATTGAATCATGGGTGTGAATACTTATGCAAATGAGCTATTTCTGTATTTCATTTTCAATACATTTGCAAAAAAATCTAAAACCATGTGTTTACTTCGTCATTATGGGGTGTTGTGTGTAGATGGGTGAGAAAAAAAATCTATTTCATCCATTTTGAATTCAGGCTGTATCAAAATGTGGAATAAGTCAAGGGGTATGAATACTTTCTGAAGGCATGCCTTCCATTTTTTTCCCACTTTCACAGTTTTTATGATCCAATTTCAATCAAGTCTGACTTTTTTCTTGTCAACTATGCATTTTCATTTTCAGGCAGTGTTCACCAGTAAATTCCATATTTTGAATACATACGACTGGAATGACACAATGGAAATGACCGTCATCGGACTGAGGTAGAAATCTGCTTCCAATGTGAATATGTTAGAGCAGTAGCTAGAAGAGAGATTAGAATCAGTCCAGGAAACTCCATTAATTTCCCCATGCAGTTGAAGTAGTTCACATACATTGCTTAAAACGAACTACGTTTTACACAACCTCAATACCTTCTACTCAGTTAGATGAAGGACTTCATAGCATTCCATTTATGAACACAAAACATGCATTTGCCTTTGCTTTATTTACAGCGACAATGGAAACTCAACCAATAGTTCCCTTACCAGGACCATCCCTGTTCAATTTGCAGTTGACCTGGTAGCAAAAGCGTAAGTATTTATAGGCCTATACTTGACATTTTGTTTGAGAATGACTGCATCAAGTTAATTTAATAAAATCAAGGTGACTTATATATATATACTTTTTTTTTTAAGCCTTCCTCAAGACTCCATCACTTACATTAACTTTACTCTGGAGAATAAATTACCCAAAACACTGGTGAATGTATATGAGGTAAACAAACAATCAACTGCTATTGCTGTGACTGATCTTAAAAGTGTGATTCACACATGTGGGGGTAATGTGCTAGATCTTTTTATACTCCAAAAACAACAAAAAAATAACTACACTGTCGCACTAGGCTTGCTCTTTTAGGAGTTAAGGTCTATGTTTTGTTACACATTCTGTGACAAATGCCTTTGTATAAAATCTTTATACAAATATTATTGTTAGATTGGTCGAATGATTAAATGTCCCACTGTTTACAGGTGCAGAACCTGGGTTTTAAGTCTGTACCCGTCACAGTCGCATTCACTTTCCCAACTAAGCTTGAGCACAAATTTGAAATGAAGGACTACCAAATATCTGTCTTACAGGTAAACTGTTCACATTGCTTATGAAAATGCTGACACATTACTGCCACAATTTCTTTCAATAGGAAACAGCCTAATACAAGTTTCCTTTCTTTTCTTTGAAGAACCATACTCAATGTGGAAAGGTTATCAATTCAACAACAGAGGTGAGTATTCAAATATACCACTCACTCTTGACATTGTTGGTAACCTATCCAATCAGGTTACAACTCAGTATAGTAATCATGTTACTGAAACACACATTTTGCTTCTGGCTGTGTTTACAGTACTGCTCTCCAGAAAAATACTGCAAGTCCATCGAGTGTGAAAGTTTCCTTTTGGAGAAGTTTTCGACAGTTACATTTGTGCTGTCTGGAAATGTAGCCTTCAAGGACCTTGAACAACATGCAAGGGTCTGTATCAAGACAAGTTTAACAAATTATGGTGCAGAGTAACAACATGCTAATAATTCTACTAACAATATCTCACTCTAAAGAGCATGCCATTGCCAAAGAAATACACTGGGGATAGAGAAACAGTCAATTTCAGCAGTTTTGTCAAACTCAGCTATGACAAAAAGCGATACATCCAGACAGCGAGTGAGACAGAGGTAAGTCTCCTGTACAAAATCTCTCCAACAAAGAACAAAATATTTATCCAGAAAAGATTCACAAAAGCATCTTCAATTTATTATATGCTCCTTTGCTTTTCAGGATAAAGGGGACTCTACGAGCTTCCACCAAACTCAGGTTATTCCGTTTGTGGAATTAAACTGATTTACAGTATGAGATGTAAAAAAAAAACAGATCCTTGTTCCATCACTAAACAATCATGGTCTCAAAATGTATTCCTCCAGATTGATGTTCAGGCTGAGATCATCATTCCTCCACATAGACAGCTGATAATAGGGACAGGAGTTGGAGTAGGAATCTTTCTCCTGATCATCGTCACAGTGGCCATGTATATGGTGAGTACCAATGCTGCGACAGACACTTTGCTTCTGCACTGTAAAGGACCAACACTTTGATTGTTGAACTGTTCAACATTGTTTTTCCCTTTCCTTTCTTCTCAGATGGGATGCTTCAAGAGAAAAACGCTTGTTGATAATGAAGGGGAATAGAGTGAGCAAGATGACGCTGCTCAGCCTAACAACATCTGTGCTAACATATCAGAGAAGCAGCCACAGCCTGAGAGAGAGCCTGAGAGTGGAGCAGTGGAGTCAAAACCTCTCCTTGACGACAGTCAGACAGAAAACAATGGCTTCCCAACTAGCAGTGAGGCGGTAGGGGAGGGACCAAAAGAGAAACAGGATGTGTCAGAGTCAGAAGCAGGCTAAAGGAGTAGTAGTCTAAAACCTGTATTTATGGAAAATATGTTTGAAAAGGGTATTTTGTTCTTAAATGATATTGTAAATTGGAATTGACAATTATGTCTTTCATTGAGTTATCAGAATTGTATGGGAAGGTCTGCTCAATCCAAGATTACAACCAATTGATTACAGCATTATCCCCAAAATGGAGGAGTTAGGTGGCGGTGGGAGGAGGTAGGGAACTGGTCTGTCTGCCCAATATAAAGGATCCAAACTGGCGGAGGAATAAAAATAGCATAAATAGGAAAGTATACCAGTTTCATTTGAGGACCAGGAAGTTGACAGCTGTGCCATACAGATTGCTAAATAGTTGGGAAGATGTTTTTTAATGTACCGATTCCATGGTACAGGGTGTATGAGTTGATATATAAAACGACGCAAGATTCAAGACTTTGTGCTTTTCAGCTAAAATTATTGTACAGAATTCTTGCCAACAACAAAACGTTGAATATTTGGGGCGTACAATCATCGCAGCTCTGCAGATTTTGTTGTGAGAGTACAGAATCATTAGACCATTTGTTTTGGTATTGCCCTCAGGTAGCCTGTTTCTGGTCTCAGGTTCAGGAATGGCTGAAAATTGAATTATTTTATTTCAACTTATTGTATGGAAGCTTGTGGAAGGCTACCCGAAATGTTCCCAAGTTAAACAATTTAAAGGCAATGCTACCAAATACTAATTGAGTGTATGTAAACTTCTGACCCACTGGGAATGTGATGAAAGAAATAAAAGCTGAAATAAATAGTTCTCTCTACTATTATTCTGACATTTCACATTCTTAAAATAAAGTGGTGATCCTAACTGACCTAAGACAGGGAATTTTTATTAGGATTAAATGTCAGGAATTGTGAAAAACTGAGTTTAAATGTATTTGGCTAAGGTGTATGTAAACTTCCGACTTCAACTGTAGGTGCGCACCTTATGTTGCTCCCTTATGCGCATTGAATACATTTAATTAAACCGCCGAAAACCCTCCCACTTGTTGGCCAACAGATTTTCTCATGGAGTTTTCATTCAATAGGGTTTTCAGTACATTTATCTAATGTAAATATTATCCAATATTTAATGGATTGAACTACTGAATGGCAACTGAACCATGCACCAGGCTCCCAAATTATTGCACCACATCTTGGCTGGGTGAGGGTGGAGGATCACTTCTTTGTTTTCTTTTTCTGTTTGGCTGGATTTGTTATTACTTGAACTTTGAGATGATCAAAATGATCAATACTTTGTAGTTATGTGCCTTTGTAATGTCTTTTTCCAAGTGGAAAAAATAAGAAACTACCACCACACTGCCTAGATCAGGCCCCCACTCTAAACTTCATTGCCGGACAAGAAGGGCACTTCTTAGGGAAGCTACTGTGAGGCCAACTGACACTGAATGAGTTACATTAGTCAGTGGCTGCAATGGATGATGATGTTCATGTATCAACGATCTCCAAGGCATTCCACAAAAAGTGTCTTTATGGGAGAGTGGCAAGGAAGAAGCCCTGGCTGAAGAAAATCCTTGCCCGCAAAGAGTTCGCAAAACGTCACCTAGAAGATACTGCAGTTGTGGCAGAATGTCTGGTGATCTGATGACTAAATGTGGAACTTTTTGGCCTGAACACTAAGCGGTATGTGTGGCTTTTCAGCAGCAGGGACTGGCAATATTGTCAGGATTGATGGGAGGATGAATGGCCACAGTACATAGAAATCCTGGATTAAAACTTGCACCCCTCTGCCAAAAAACTCAAACTGTGGAAGAAGTTTGTTTTTCAACAGGACAATGATCCAAAGCACACTGCCAGAGCAACAGTGGAGTATCTTAAAATGATGAAAATAGATGTCCTTGGGTGGCCCAGTCAGACTGCTGACCTTAATCCCATCTAAAATCTGTGGAAAGACCTCAAAATTGCAGTCCACTGTTCCACAACTAACTTCACACAGCTTGGGGCATTTTGCAAGGAGGAATGGGCAAATATTGCTCCATCACAGTGTGCAAAGTTAGTTATCCGAAAAGACTACTGGCGGTAATAGCTGCCAGAGGTGGTTCAACCAAGTATTGACCTAGGGGGATTAATTTAAAAATGAACTGGAATTTCATAAAATAAATACATTGTTTACTATTTTCTTTTGTGGGGGGAACTCTGAAGAAGAATGTGACTCACAATAAAAATTCCCAATCTAATGCATCAAAATCCCAGGCTGTGAGACGGGATGGGCCGAATATTTTTCAAGGCACTGTAAGTAAAACATTCTAAAGTGCATACATCAACTCGGCTGGTTCAGCCCTACAGAAACCTAATGCCCGATGTCCACCAGATGCATATGCGTTTTGTTTTACCGGATGTTTAGTCCGCATTTTCCATACTTGACGCACGTGCTTCGCTTTTCAACTAAAAGCTAGCTAGTTGAAGTCTGTGTTTGCACTTCCGTTTGCAACGCACGAGGTGAAAATATTGAACGCATGCGGTACACAGAACGCACCGCAGCCTAGTGTGACACCCCCAACGTAGCGTTGCGGACTGCTCCATTGACAATTAATGACTTCTGTCAGAATCCAAAGAGTTTGATGCATCTGGTGGACATGAGGCATAAAGCTTGGGTCTCTTAATTTAATCTATGCAAATAAGGGCACACAATTACAATTCTGAATAATGGCAGAGCTATTTATTGTAGAAAAGGGGCCGCAATACATGTCATGTTGACATGATTTTCAGTTTGCTTCCAAATGACTGATTTCACATTAGTCTCCAGTGATCATAGGGAAAAATAATCTAAAACAATTGCTATGTGTATTTACAATCCCCTTCTCCAAGCTGATTACTCACTAACCTAGCTCTTATCAATTTATCAATTACAGTGCATGGAGAACGCTGTTATTTCTATTGAAAATAATCAAGTATATTAATTTTCCACTCAGGTTCGCTCAACCTTATACATGTTTCCTCATGCGTAAAGGCGGTGGCATTAAGTCAAGGTCAGATATGGCGTATCTTTATACACACCTCCACACCTTTATTTCTTAGATCTCCACCCCGAACGAATAGCAGGTGAATAGCATGCTGTTCTCATGCTTAAATTAAAGGTCAGAATAGACAAGACAAAAGTGTATAAAAAAGGGAATTATGAGCGCTTACCTCGAGTCGGATTCGGCCCCAGAGAGAATAACTGCTAAATGAATTAATATAGTCCGACCTGACCACAGAAGCAGGAAAATCACTCAATGTGTGATTACGTCTGAAAGACTTTTTCAAAAATGTATATATATATATATATATCTAATCTATATCTATATCATGGACATTGTTCGATAAAACATGACCAAAGTCATTCAATATTATACATACTATACTGTTTCTATGTTCATGTCATAGTAAGCATTTGTCCTTGTATGATTGATGTAATGTTCTTGCTAGAGAAATGTACATTGGCAAAAAGGTAAATTATTTGCTGTTTCAAGTTATTATTATTTATTATAAGTTATATATACATTGCTGTAGAACGCAAAGGCTATTTGTATAAGCTGTGGGTTAACAAGTAGGGAAATAAGCAAAAGGTAATCATGATTCCAACATGTTCGGTTTGTACAGTCAACCAAAATAAATGATCAATGTTGAATGCTTGTGTTGTACAAAACACATTCATTGTATACTTATGAGCACTGAATAAATACAATTAGGTTGATTGATTGACTCAGGTTTGCCAAAAAGAACCTGGAAGATCATCAAGAATCTTGGAAGAATATTCAATTGACAGATTAGTCAACTTTTTGGACGACATGGATCCCATTATGCCTGGCGAAAACCAAACCCGCATTCCCCAGTAAGAAGCTTACACCAACGGTCAAGCATGGTGGTGGTAGTGTGATGGTTTGGGGATGCTTTGCTGCCTCAGGACCTGGATGACTTGCCTTAATAGAAGGAACCATGAATTCTGCTCAGTATCAGAATTCTACAGGAGAATGTCAGGCCATCCATCTGTGAGCTGAAGCGCAGCTGTGTCATGCAGCAAGACATTTCCAAAACACGCAATCAAGTCTACATGAAAATGGCTAAAAAACAACACATTTGAAGTTTTGGAATGGCCTAGTCAAAGTCCAGATCTAATCCCATTTGATATGTTGTGGCAGGACTTGAAATGAGCAGTTCATGCTTAAAAACCCACAAATGTCGCTAAATTAATGCAGTTCTGCATGGAAGAGTGGGCCAAAATTCCTCCACAGCGACGTGAGAGACTGCTCAATAACTACAGGAAGCGTTTGGTTGGAGTCATTGCAGCTAAAGGTGAAACAAACCAGTTAGAGTGTAAGGGGCAATTATTTTTTCACACAGGGGCATTGGGTGTTGCATAACTTTATGAAATAAGTATGTAAATCTATTATTTATTCACTCAGGTTCCTTTTATCTAATATTAGGTTTTGGTTGAAGTTCCGATACAGTGCCTTCGGAAAGTATTCAGACCCCTGGACTTTTTCCACTTTGATATGTTACAGCCTTATTCTAAAATAGATTAAATAAATACAAATCCTCAGCAATCTACACACAATACCCCATAATGACAAAGCGAAAACAGAAATACCTTATTTACTTAAGTATTCAGACCCTTTGCTATGAGACTAAAAATTGAGCTCAGGTGCATCCTGTTTCCATTGATCATCCTTGAGATGTTTCTACAACTTGGATTCCACCGGTGGTAAATTCAATTGATTGGACATGATTTGGAAAGGCACACACCTGTCTATATAAAGGTCCCACAGTTGACAGTGCAAAAACTTAACCATGAGGTCGAAGGAATTGTCCAAAGAGGTCCGAGACAGGATTGCAGAAGGACAACCATCTCTGCAGCACTCCACCAATCAGGCCTTTATGGTAGAGGCCAGACTGAAGCCACTCCTCAGTAAAAGGCACATGACAGCCAGCTTGGAATTTGCCAAAAGGCACCTAAAGACTCTCAGACCATGAGAAACAAGATTCTCTGGTCTGACGAAACGAAGATTGAACTCTTTGCCCTGAATGCAAAGCATCACTTCTAGAGGAAACCTGGCACCATCCCTACGGTGAGGCATGGTGGTGGCAGCATCATGCTGTGGGGATGTTTTTCAGTTGCAGGGACTGGGAGACTAGTCAGGATCGAGGCAAAGATGAACGGAGCAAAGTACAGCGAGATCCTTGATGAAAACCTGCTCCAGAGCGCTCAGGACCTCAGACTGGGGGCAAAGGTTCACCTTCCAACGGACAACGACCCTAAGCATACAGCCAAGACAGCGCAGGAGTGGCTTCGGGACAAGTCTCTGAATGTCCTTGAGTGGCCCAGCCAGAGCCTGGACATGAACCCGATCTAACATCTCTGGAGACCTGAAAATAGCTGTGCAGCAACGCTCCCCATCCAACCTGACAGAGCTTGAGAGGATCTGCAGAGAAGAATGGGAGAAACTCCCCATATACAGGTGTGCCAAGCTTGTAGCATCATACCCAAGAAGACCCAAAGCTGTAATCGCTGCCAAAGGTGCTTCAACAAAGTACTGAGTAAAGGGTCTGAATACTTATGTAAATATCATATTTCAGTTTTAGCAACATTTTCTAAAATGCTATTTTTGCTTTGTCATTATGGGGTAGTGTGCAGATTGGGGAGGAAAAAACAATTTAATCAATTTTAGAATAAGGCTGTCACCTAACAAAATGTGGAAAAAGTCAAGGGGTCTGAATACTTTCCGAAGGCACTAACATTCAGTATAAAAAATATGCAGAAGTAGAGGAAATTAGAACGGGTTGGCAAAAACTTTTTTCACAGCACTGTACCTTACTATAAGGAGGGAGAAGCACTACATTCACATAGAGCAGAACTGGTGTGGCATTAGTTTAAATAATTACATTTTCCACATGGTAATAAGAATCAGTTGAGTGTAATAACCCACTGTTCACTCAAATAAGAGGAAATTTAGTCGGCAGGAGTGGAGGAAGAGGGCAACGGTTAATTGTTACTAGTTAACTGACTAAGTGTTCCAAAAGGTTACTTTCTGCTTGAATAAAATGAAATAAAACAATTTGATTTTTGAACCTTAATGTACATGATTGATGATATATTATGTAAAATAACATCAACATTTGTGAGCTGTATGCCTCATCTAAGAAAATCCCTAAAACAATTCACACAGAGACAGACTAGGCTGACTATTCATCAGTAACATTAGCTGATACTAAGTAATGATATCAATATGAGTAACACTTTATCAAATTGAGTTAAGGAGGGTTTTGTGTGTGCGCGCGCAATGGTTTCCTGCATTTTATACAATCATTTTGCAATGAATTGCTGTTCTGATCTGTTAGCGGGAAAATACACTAGAGCAAAAGCATTCATATGAAGGCTAAGTGTTTGTGTAAGTCTTTGGGTGCGTAGTCCATTGACAATATGAGCCATATTCCAAATGCAGTTACTGTCCGAAGGGAGATGATGTGGGGTCAAATGTCTTAAAAAGGTCTTTCAGTGTTTTTTTGTCACTTAAGTTCCCACTTTTGCTCCTCATTTGTCCAGACAGTCGCTTTGGTTGTACATCAGTGTGAGGTGGAGTCATCCGTACCATCGCTTGGATTGGTAGGTTGTGAACGCCGGGGGTATCCACCTGGACCTGACTCCTACCTGAATTCCTGGAGGGAATGAGATGCTCTCCTGCAGCCTCCTGGGAGTTGGAGTCCTGTGGGGAACGCTGTGGCCTGAGTCCAACAGCAGGACCTGATGTTCTTTCAGTAGAGGGGGAGGCCAGAGGGACAGACGGCTGGTGATTGAGCGAGAGGGAGATGGGAGGAAGAGGGGCAAGGTCTTCAAGGGACCACACCACGTCCTGGGCCAAGGCGGACCGTGGCAGGGTGATGTCCACCTGGTGATGGTGGTGAGGGTCACCGAGTGTCACGTAAGGTACTAACGGTTCTAATGGATTTACCAACAGCTCATCTCTCAGATCGCACTCCTCCGGCTCACTCTCCATCTCATCAACCTCCTCCTCCACTTCCTGGCTCTGCTGTCCTGTAGAAGTAGATCCTCTGGTGATTTGGTCCTCATCACTGGAACACAGGACATCGCCTCCTGAAATGGGTCACAACAGGTCAGACACACTTCCAGCGGTAATGGACACAATCCTGAATATATTTTGATACACACTAAGAGCCCCCCCCCCAAAAAAAAAACAACAACAGTTCAGCCAGAAGTAGGTGAGAGGAAATAAGTATAAAACATGTTGATGCAACACCAAGCACACCACAATGCATTTATGTTCCAAAAAAGACAAATGCACTACTTCTAGCATGATGTGTCTGACAGTACCTGGATCTTCGCAGCCGTTACTGCTCACCTGCTCCCCCTCCTGGCGGCATGGGCTCAGGCGTAGGAAGAGGGTCCTCAGAACAGAATTGGTTGTGGTTGGCTCTGGAGGCACTGCATTAATTCAAGGAGGGTACGAAGTGGTGATGAAAATAGCAAGATGCATTTCACACAAAGAGACAATTCAAGTATTGTTATTGAGTAAAGCAGGCCCTTACCAGTGAGTGGTGTTGGGTCTGGAACCTCATGTTCAGGCTCGACTATGCAGGGGATACGGCCGGGTCTGTGTTGGAGGGTCAGGGAGGGTTGTCTGGCTGATGGGCCCTGCAAAGAGGCTGCGAATGGGTTTTCCCAATTGCGTCTGAGTCTCAAGCACAGCCTCAACTGAATGAGAAGCTGGTCTATTACAGCCAGTGAAATTTCTGGGGGGATCTGGTTGGATCTGTGTTGGATGGCCGGAAGTGGAGGTCTGTGTGAGGGGGCCGGCAAAGAGGCTACGGAAGGGTTTTTCCATGGACTTCTGGGACTCACTGACAGCCTCAACTGAAGATGTCCATCTCTTGCAGACTGGAAGAGGCTCAGAAGACCGAATGGGGTCTGGAGGACCAAATGTAGTACTGGGGGGATTTGGCCGGGTCTGTCTGGGAGGGTGGTTAGTGGAAGTCTGGCTGATGGGACCTGCGAAGAGGCTACGGAAGGGTTTTCCCATGGGCTTTTTAGAAGCTGGTGCCTTACAACCTGGGGAGTTCAGAGAGTGTGAGGGAGGGTCAGGAGCGGTCTGGCTGATGGTTCCTGCAAAACGTCTGCAGAAGGAGTTTTCCACGGGCTTACAGGGCTCAAGCACAGCCGTAACAGAATACGAAGCCGGCCTTTTACAGCCTGCAGGAGGAGCAGAGTCTGAAGGACCCAATGCAGTGCTAGGGGAATCTGGTTGGATCTGTGTGGGAGGTTGGGGAGAGGAGGTCTGGCTGATGGGGCCTGCAAAGAGGCTGCTGAATGATGGTTTCAAAGATTTAGGAGACCCAAGCACAGCTGAATAATAAGCCGGCCTCTTATAGACTGAAGGAGGATCAGGGAGCCGAATGGAGTCTGGAGGATTGAATGTAGTGCTAGGAGGATCTAGTTGGGTCTGTATATCAGGGTGGCGAGTGGACTGGGTGATGGGGTCTGCAACGAGGCTGCGGACAGGGTTTTCCACAGGCTTGTGGGACTGATGAACAGCCTTAACTGAATAAGAAGCGGGTCCCTTACAGCCTGGGCATGTTTATGGGAGAATTAGCAGACTTCTGTATGGGAGGTTTAGTGGAGGTCTGGCTGATCGGCCCTGCAAAGAGACTGCACAAGGGTTTTTTCACCGGCTTCTGGGCCATAGAGACAGCCTCAACTGAATAAGGAGCCGGCCTCTTATTCATACGATGATCAGACGACCGAATGGGGTCTGGAGAAACTAACGTATTGCTGGGGGGATCTGATTGGATCTGTGTGGGGGGTGGGAAGGTCTGGGTGATGGATCCTGAAAATTGGTTGCAGAAGGCTTTTTCTACAGGCTTCTGGAATCCAAGCACAGCTTCGACTGAATAAGGTACATTTATCTTGCCACATGTAGAGTTTAGGGTTGGATCAGGGGGGCAGATAGAGTCTGGAGGAACCAATGTAGTTGCAGGGGGATCTGGTTGGGTCTGTGAGGTCTGGCTGATAGAGGCTGCAAAGAAGCTGCGGAAGGGTTTTTCCAGGGGCCTATGGGACCCAAGCACAGCCTCAACTGAATAAGAAACCAGTTCCTTAAAGCCAGGAGAGCTTGGGGGAGGATCAGGAGACTGAATGGAGTTTGCACAACGGGCAATGTCCTTCTCCACGACCTCAGATGACACTTCATTCTGACACATCGGGGGAACTTTCCTCAGCATGTGGCTCAGAGGGGCATGAGCTGTTGTAAAAGTTTGGCCTGAAATCCAGACAAAAATAGTAGTCAATAAAACACTAGTGAATAACTTATTTACTATCAACAGTGTAAAATGTCAAGCTCAACCACATACATACACTACTATTCTACTACAGCACTGTGGTGTGTGGGCTTCCATTACTATCCTTGTGGGTACCGGAAATCCCCAAAAGTTGTAAAACAAGGAAAATTCTCCTTCGTGGGGACATTTCTCAGGTTCCCATGAGGACTAAGGCTATTATAAGCTTAGGGGTTAGGGAAAATGTGAATGGAAATACATTTTAGGTCCCCACAAGGATAGAAAAAGAAACGTGTGTGTGCATGTGCACTCGCGTTCTTAACCTTAGTGGATTCAGGAATATGTCAATGACAGGCTTTGTCTCAGCTGTCGCTGACTCCTTTGTGGCCACTGGCTCCTCCATGCTGATTGGCTCGTTCTTTTTCGCCAGTTCCTCAATGTCCTTGTCCCTCTTCAATGCCTGCATAGGAGAAATAAGCCCTAGTTTGTAGATAACAGGGAGCAACAATATGTCAGTCTAAGGGCAGGAGTGTGATCTCAGGGTGGACATACAGTGAGGGAAAAAGTATTTGATCCCCTGCTGATTTTGTACGTTTGCCCACTGACAAAGAAATGATCAGTCTATAATTTTAATGGTAGGTTTATTTAAACAGTGAGAGACAGAAAAACAACAACAAAATCCAGAAAAACGCATGTCAAAAATGTTATAAATTGATTTGTATTTTAAATTTGGGAAATAAGTATTTGACCCCCTCTCAATCAGAAAGATTTCTGGCTCCCAGGTGTCTTTTATACAGGTAACGAGCTGAGATTAGGAGCACACTCTTAAAGGGAGTGCTCCTAATCTCAGTTTGTTACCTGTTTAAAAGACACCTGTCCACAGAAGCAATCAATTAATCAGATTCCAAACTCTCCACCATGGCCAAGACCAAAGAGCTCTCCAAGGATGTCAGGGACAAGATTGTAGACCTACACAAGGCTGGAATGGGCTACAAGACCATCGCCAAGCAGCTTGGTGAGAAGGTGACAACAGTTGGTGCGATTATTCGCAAATGGAAGAAACACAAAAGAACTGTCAATCTCCCTCGGCCTGGGGCTCCATGCAAGATCTCACCTTGTGGAGTTGCAATGATCATGAGAACGGTGAGGAATCAGCCCAGAACTACACGGGAGGATCTTGTCAATGATCTCAAGGCAGCTGGGACCATAGTCACCAAGAAAACATTTGGCAACACACTACGCCGTGAAGGACTGAAATCCTGCAGCGCCCGCAAGGTCCCCCCCCCTGCTCAAGAAAGCACATATACACAGGCCCGTCTGATGTTTGCCAATGAACATCTGAATGATTCAGAGGAGAACTGGGTGAAAGTGTTGTGGTCAGATGAGACCAAAATTGAGCTCTTTGGCATCAACTCAACCATGTTTGGAAGGAGGAGGAATGCTGCCTATGACCCCAACACCATCCCCACCGTCAAACATGGAGGTGGAAACATTATGCTTTGGGGGTGTTTTTCTGCTAAGGGGACAGGACAACTTCACCGCATCAAAGGGACGATGGGACGGGGCCATGTACCGTCAAATCTTGGGTGAGAACCTCCTTCCCTCAGCCAGGACATTGAAAATGGGTCGTGGATGGGTATTCCAGCATGACAATGACCCAAAACACACGGCCAAGGCAACAAAGGAGTGCCTCAAGAAGAAGCACATTAAGGTCCTGGAGTGGCCTAGCCAGTCTCCAGACCATAATCCCATAGAAAATCTGTGGAGGGAGCTGAAGGTTCGAGTTGCCAAACGTCAGCCTCGAAACCTTAATGACTTGGAGAAGATCTGCAAAGAGGAGTGGGACAAAATCCCTCCTGAGATGTGTGCAAACCTAGTGGCCAACTACAAGAAACGTCTGACCTCTGTGATTGCCAACAAGGGTTTTGCCACCAGGGGTCAAATACTTATTTCCCTCATTAAAATGCAAATCAATTTATAACATTTTTGACATGCGTTTTTCTGGATTTTCTCACTGTTCAAATAAACCTACCATTAAAATTATAGACTGATCATGTCTTTGTCATACTTTTTTCCCTCACTGTAGTTACTGACCGCCTCCAGTAGCTGTTTGGTGAGCTCAGTCAGGGGTTCATGGGAAAACCTGCACTGGTCTCCTTGGTAGCACTTCCCGTGGGTATGGAAGAACTTGCAGGGGAAACTCTGTGGGTACTTGGTCAAGGAGAGAAAGCTAAAAAATGTCTGCATCTACCCCTACGGCAGCCATTTTGTTGTTAAGGTACTGTTCGCTATGGGTCGTTAAGGTATTATTTTGCGATCAAATTCTAATTTTTTTCACAAAATATAGCAAGAGGGAGAAAGACAAATACACAAGGATACAGTATAAAAACATAACCAGAGTACAGTCATTTCCCACTCACCCACCCTGTGGCAACCACTACATAAGGGACATTTAGAATAAGCTGAGAAAAGGATATTGTGCATGTATATGCAGCTCTGTCCTTTCGAACAGGATCCCTGGACGTAGAATTTACACACTTCGTTGATAGAGTAGTTGACGTCCAGAGCATGTTCTAGCTGGCAGTCATCACCCTGCAAAACACACAGAAAATAGGTTGTTGGGGTCTCTATACAGATGGGTCATGCCACTGACAGTATATACTGTAAAAGATATCAACATACCTGACTATCATTTGAATATATTGGGTTTAGGTTCAATGACAAGGGCCCATTAATATTGTTACAATTTCTAATAATAAAATATATAGAAACTTGCCTTGATGCACTTTCCCCTGAGGAAATGTCGACAGATTAACCTTCCATCAATCTCCAAAGCATTCTGGTCTTTGAATTCCTTTGTCATGTTCTTTTTCCCCTTTCCAGTCAAAGTTTCCTGGAAGAGGTTGGAATCAGCTGTTAAAATGTACATAAGACTGAAATCACTGGCTTGGGTTACTTAGCTGTAACCGAGCACATCGTAAAGCTACAAATGAAATTTCTATGGATATTGACAAGGAAGTTTGCATGATATAATTTACTAGTGTTAAACGTCCATCTGGGAAATGTCGTCCACCTCTACGTGACTGGTCAGTGCCTCGCTTTGACCAATCGCCCCTCTTGTCACAGCCCGGGCCTCTATTGTTCCACTCTCCACCCCTGTTGGAACCACCTCCACCCCTGTTGGAACCACCTCCACCCCTGTTGGAACCACCTCCACCCCTGTTGGAACCACCTCCACCCCTGTTGGAACCACCTCCACCCCTGTTGGAGAAGTCTCTGGGCTGGTTAGTGCCACGTCCACCCATTCCGGTAAAATCCCCACCCCTCCTGGCAGAGTTTCCCCCTCTGCCTCTGGCCTGGTTGTCAAGTCTCTGCTGATGAGGCTCCCATTGCTTCCGTCCTTTCTTCCTGTTTATACCTTGAACATCCTTTTTCTGATCAGGACCTGTGGAAAAGGTTAAATGAAATTACACTCCTTTTAATGTCTGAATGCTAATAGTAAAGGGTTAATGATCCATAAAAACCCACCCTTTGCTTCTCCGGGCCTCATGTTCTTCCTACCCGACTTCTCTGTATCGTGTCCTGGGTGTTCACCTTCCTTGCTATGGCTGTAGAAGTCCAGTTCTCTACTGAAGTCAAGGCTTGGTTGCTCGTAATCACACTTCACCATGTTGTAGTCTCGGGCCACAGAGTCAAAATCTTTATAAGATTGTGGTGGGCCTTTATGAATCGTACTTTTCTTGGCCTGGCCAGACTGCTCCTGCAGAAAAAACACGAAAGGGTAACGTTATAACCTCAAATCACAAGGAAAGGGGCAATACCAAATCGTAACAGTTTGCGGCCTGTTTCTATACGAACATTATAATCTACAGCAGGGCTCGCCAACCCCGTTCCTGGAGCGCTATCACCCCAACCCTAATCTAGCGCACCTCATTCTAATAATTAGCTGGTTGATAAACTGAATCAGGTTAGTTACAACTGGGATTGGAGCGAAAACCTATCGGAGGGCAGCTCTCCAGGAACAGGGTTGGAGAGGCCTGATCTACAGGTATGTGGTGTGTAATTAGCCTAGTAGTGTAAAGCACTGCACAAAACACAATTACAGGCCTATGTTAGTTAGGCTTACGTCAATGTTTAGTAAAAAACTTTAAAAAACTTCTCCATTCTGAATTGGCCTATTCAGCATCTGTTTAGTACATGACAAGTTCACCTGTTGGTCCCCTTTTTTTCTCTTCCTGGGGCCACTCTGCTGACCCCTTTGCAATGGCCTCTTTCTGGACTGGGCATCCCTTTCGTTCTCCTTCTCCATTTTAACTGGTTCCAGTTGCCTTTCATCCCTTTGAAATCTGAGAAATTGTTAGAATCAATAAATTCTCACAGTTGGCTATGTACTCCAATTCAAAGCTGAAACACTTGACTAAGTTATTTAACGTTAGCCAAGTTACATGAATTCAGCATAGTAGAAAAGAGAGTAGAAATAATTACTATTTGTATTATAGCTAACCTCTCTCTCGACTCACAAGGCGTCGTGTCAAATTCTTTGTTTGGAAGACTTGAAAAAAGGCTGGTGAATGCCATGTTGCTGACATACAATGTTGAGTAGGGTAGACCTACTCCTCTCTCCTCAAAATAGAAATGAGTGGTTTTTCATTCATGACCACTACAAAATGTGTCTAGGTCATAGCTATATACAGCAAAAAGTAGCTAGCCAGCTAACTGTTTAAAACAGTAGATGGCAAACTTTCGAGGTCATAGTTAGCTAATGTAGCGTGGCTACTAGTCGTGCTGCTGCTCACTGCAGACAACGTTACAAGCGCGTGTTGGCTCGCGCACCTGCACCACGCTATCTTGGGGCTCTCACACTTCACTTGCAAACGTTTCGTCTTGTTAGATGAGCGAGCAGCACTAATACGTTTTGTATGTTTCCATAATAAGCACACTCAAATATATCATTTCGATAACGAAGCCAGTGCTCTCACCAAACAAACAGCTCACTAGAGAACGGCATGACGTTTTCCTTGCTTACTTCCGAGCACGTGCGCACTACGTCGCCGACTATTTGTCAACTGCGTTCCTTCATAAGTTTAGCGTTTTGAAACGTTTTGTCTGTCGCTGGCTACGTCAAAAGGATACGTTCAGTTTATTAAACGTTTTACTACGGGTTGAAACAGTAACGGTAGTACTAATCAAAGGGCACTAGTCAATTTACACTAGTAAATGTTTAAAGATAATTTATCAGTAGAATTCATGACACCTTTAGGTCTCTGGGCCAAGCTTTACCAATATTATCTTTGAATTTGTTCAATAAGTCATGTCTAGTAATGCAATGCATTGATTATTTTTCTAATCATAATTTGTACGAAATGTGAATAGTCAACAAGTGTGAAGTACAATCAGTTACTTGACTGTTTCATGTCATAATCATCAATCTATTGATATAGTCAAAATTGGTGACAGAACATCAGTCTTTATAGGAGCATAGTCAAAACATCGAATACCAATATGATTACAACAAAACACATTAAGATCACTAACAGATAAATATAGCACACCTTGGGCACCTTTAAAACATAAATACAATCTAGATAGGCGCTGACCTTCGTTCCTCCACAGTGGAGGCTGTCCCGGTGTCTAGCTCAAAGTCCAGGTCAGGGTGCCGGTTGACGCGACAGAGTGAGTCGTCTCTTTCTCTCCCTCTCTGTGTGTGTTTGTGCTTCTCTCATTCCCCCAGCTGAACTCTGTGGATCGTCAACGCTGTGTCCCTAGCTGCCCCTCTGCTTCTCTGAACCTCAATATGACACACTGGGCCTCCCTTGCCCTCCTTCTGGTTTTGGGCCTCTCCATCCAGGGGACCCTCTCCCAGGATGCTGAGGAACCTGCACCAGTGGACCCAAGCCAGGCCCCTGTCGACCCCTCCCAGGCAGAGGATGAGGACGAGTGGGGACTGAACTCCGTTAGGGGAAGCTTCGAAGCCGTCAATGGATACTTTGATTCCATGCTGGAGCTTATGGGCGGACGCGATGGAGTGTGTCAGTACCGCTGTCGATATGGTAAGAACATGACCAACTCCTCTGGCTAGTCTATCATACATGTATCATATGCGTGGCATGCCAACGATAGTCAGAGGAGTTAGCTAAACAAGCCCATCTAGATCTAGATCAGGCTAGTGATTAGTTAGCCGAGATATTCTGTTTTGTACAGACCGCTTCAATGTGATCCTATAGTTCAAATTGTGTAATGATTATCCGGCAGGTAGATCCATTATAGATTAGGGAGATGGTACACAATGGAGATACACATGGACATTAAGATTTTCGGAAGTCTTAACACATCGTCATGTTAAAGCCATTTAAACTCTTTAATGCAACAACACCATATAACTGATTAGGGAAAGCTTACACCAGGAATTCCTTTGACATTACTAATAACCTTTATCACCTCACATCTGATAATGCACCTCAGTCACTGGACTATGAGCAAGGGAGAGATAGCTGGCAGAGGTGTCATGAGGTAAAGTGTGAAAAACTCAGCGATTCACAGCTAGGCTGTAGTCTTCACCAATGATATCACATGTCCATGGACTTTACCTGTATTGACCTTGGACCCTGTTTTGGTTACCACCATTGATGAACTGATAATCTTTCCCAACAACGTCTGACGGACATCCAACCTCCCACACACTGGTTAAATCAACTTTGTTTCCACATCATTTCAATGAAATTACACTGAACCAATGTGGATTAGACTTTGAATTGACATCTGTGCCCAGTGGGCTCCCTTTGCTGGGTTGGTCAATCAAGTGTGGATGGCGATCAAGGTTGGGTTCAGTTCCATTTCAAGTCAATTCAGTCAATTGATGAAGTAAACTCAAATTCCAGTTCCTATTTTCATTGCATTTCTTGAATTGAAGGGAACTAATGTTGTCTCCAACATTCTTTCTACCTCAGGTAAAGCTGCTATTCCTCGCCCTGACTACCAGATGCAAGAGCCCAATGGATGCAGCTCCTACTTCCTAGGCCTTCCGGTACCCAATAGTGTATGCATTTGTAGATGATTGGAAACACACACATTAATGCTCAGTGAAACATTTCCACAATCAAGTATTTTTATAGAATGCAAATCAAAATAGTACATTGGTCATACAACTCCAATAATATACAGATTGAAGTGTACACATACACTGAGTGTATAAAACATTAGGAAAACCTGCTCCTTCCATGACAGACTGACCAGGTGAATCCAGGTGAAAGCTATGATCCCTTATTGATGTCATTTGTTAAAGCCACTTAAATCAGTGTAGATGAACGGGAGGAGACAGGTTAAAGAAGGATTTTTAAGCCTTGAGACAATTGAGATATGGATTGTGTATGTGTGCCATTCAGAGGGTGAATGGGCAAGACAACATATTTAAGTGCCTTTGAACGGGGTATGGTAGTAGGTGCCGTGTTTTTAAATGCTCAACCGTTTCCTGTGTGTATCAAGAATAGTCCACCCCCCAAACGACATCCAGACAATTTGAGCATTGGAGTCAACATGGGCCAGCATCACTGTGGAACGCTTTTGACTCCTTGTAGAGTCCAAGACCCGACAAATGGAGGCTGTTCTGAGGGCACAAGGAGGTGCAACTCAATATTAGGAAGGTGTTCCTAATGTTTTGTACACTCAGTGTATAACACCATCATAGCGCACACACACACATACTCACCACCCTTGTCCTGTTCCATCAAGGTTGACCTGGGTATCCCTGCCATGACTAAGTGCTGCAACCAGCTGGACATATGTTACGACACCTGCGGCTCCAACAAGTACCGCTGCGACTCCAAGTTCCGCTGGTGTCTCCACAGCATCTGCTCTGACCTTAAGAAGAGCCTGGGCTTCATGTCAAAGGTCGAAGGTCAGTCAACCTGATGCAGTGTACATGGAAAGTTCCACAGTCTGAAAAGTGTAGAAGCCGTCAAGCCCTTGATACCTCTGTTCCTCAACTCCCTCTCAAAGTCCATTGCAGGAGGCTCCAACGTCCCTCCCCTCAAACCTCCTTCTCCAAAGAACTTTGAGGGGGGGGGGCAAGGAATTAAGGAGAAATCAAAGATTTGACAGCTTGTACACTTTTCATACAGAGCCACACATTACACCTACAGCCCTATACCTGAACTTCATTGCACTTTCATCAGGCCTATTGATATTTTGTTCAAGATGTTTGAATAGGCCAGTAATTAACTCTCATCCCCATGTCCCTCTTTACCGTCTAGCCTGTGAGACGGTAGCAGACACCCTGTTCAACACAGTCTGGACTCTGGGCTGCAGGCCCTACATGAACAGCCAGAGAGAAGCCTGCCTCTGTGAAGGAGAGGAGAGGGATGAGCTTTAAATTAGGATTATAGACACACACACACACTCGCATATGCACACAACACACACACACTCACGTATGCATGCATGCACGCACGCACACACACATACAAACACACGCACATAAACACACACACGGCTCTCCTATTCACCAAGTAATATGGGACGATATTTCACTCCAAATGACTGCTGGAGATGCGACTTGATTAGGGTTTTTTCAAAAGACTCCTATTTTGGCTATTTGTGTAATTTATTTGGAGGTGTGTTTTACTAGGTTTTGTTTAACAGAACAAGTGCTGTATATTTGCAACAACTGTTGGGTTTATTTTTTTAATCTGCAAAAAAAAAGACATACTACAATACAATCTTGTATTTGTCTTCTTGAGTTGTAGAAAATCTGAAATGACATGTTCCATGCCATGTGCTTCAGACTGTATCTCTTCCTGAAAACAGAGGAACACAGAATACACACAAATCTAAAGTTCTAACTATACACTATCTACACAAATATAATGTACATTAATTTACAAAGATGTATTATCTAATATTAAGTTCAAATGTGTTTTATGTCTAGCCATAACTTAATTCATCATACATTTTTAACCCCATTAGGTAGAAATTATACATTACTCCACACTTAGTCCTGAGATACAAATAAATCAGTTTATTAAGTTAAATATATACAAAGTGAAACAGGACAGGATCTATAGAAATAGAAGCTCGGAATTGAAAATAGTCAGACAGTTTCCTGTCTTTTATAACTAAAACAACCTCTTGGCTCTGCCAATTCCATAATAACATAAAAGCAACCTGAACTTACAGTACACTGAAAAAAACGTCAATATGAAGCCTCAGAGGACATGGCCAGAAGACAACAAATCCTATGGTAGTATTATTATACTGAACAAAAACATAATAGCAACATGCAACAATTTCTAATTTTTTACTGAGTTAAAGTTCATATAAGGAAATAAGTCAATTGAAATAAATTCATTAGGCCCTAATCTATGGATTTCATAGACGATCCCGCAGGTGAAGAAGCCGGATGTGGTGGTCGTGGGCTGGAGTGGTTACACGTGGTCTGCGGTTGTGAGGCCGGTTGGACGTACTGCCAAAATCTCTATAGCAATGTTGAAGGCAGCTTATGGTAGAGAAATTAACATTACATTCTCTGGCAACAGCTCTGGTGGACATTCCTGCAGTCAGCATGCCAACTGCATGCTCCCTCAAAACTTGAGACATCTGTGGCATTGTGTTGTGTGACAAAACTGTACATTTTAAAGTGGCCTTTTACTGTCCCCAGCACAAGGTGCACCTGTGTAATGCTGTTTAATCAGCTTCTTTATATGCCACACCTGTCAGGTGGATGGATTATCTTGGCAAAGTGGAAAAGCTCACTAATAGGGATGTAAACAAATTTGTGCACAACATTTGAGAGAAATAAGCTTTCTGTGCAAATGGAACATTTCTGGGATTTTCTTTTTCAGCATTTACATGTTGCGTTTATATTTTTGTTCAGTGCACAAATCTAGAAATAATCTGGTGGTAGAATGCAATGACATTCCAGGTGGTAGAATGCAATCAGTGGTGGAAAAAGTACCCAATTATCAAACTTGAGTAAAGGTAAAAGACACCTTAATAGAAAATGACTCAAGTAAAAGTGAAAGTCACCCAGTAAAACACTCATTGAGTAAAAAGTCTTAAAGTATTTGGTTTTAAATATACTTACAGTGGCTTGCCAAAGTATTACCCCCTTTGGCATTTTTCCTATTTTGTTGCCTTACAACCTGGAATTCAAATGGATTTTTGGGGGTTTGTATCATTTGATTTACACGAGATGCAAAATTAATTTGATTGTGAAACAAACAAGAAATAAGACCAAAAGAAACAGAAAACTTGAGCATGCATAATTATTCCCCCCCCCCCCCCCAAAAGTCAATACTTTGTAGAGCCACCTTTTGCAGCAATTACAGCTGCAAGTCTCTTGGGGTATGTCTCTATAAGCTTGGCACATCTAGCCACTGGGATTTTCCCACTCTTCAAGACAAAACTGCTCCAGCTCCTTCAAGTTGGATGGGTTCCGCTGGTGTACAGCAATCTTTAAGTCATACCACAGATTCTCAATTGGATTGAGGTCTGGCCTTTGACTAGGCCATTCCAATACATTTAAATGTTTCCCCTTAAACCACTTGAGTGTTGCTTTAGCAGTATGCTTAGGGTCATTGTCCTGCTGGAACGTGAACCTCCGTCCCAGTCTCAAATCTCTGGAAGACTGAAACAGCTTTCCCTCAAGAATTTCCCTGTATTTAGCGCTATCCATCATTCCTTAAATTCTGACCAGTTTCCCAGTCCCTGCCTATGAAAAACATCCCCACAGCATGATGCTGCCACCACCATGCTTCACTGTGGGGATGGTGTTCTCGGGGTGATGAGAGGTGTTGGGTTTGCGCCAGACATAGCATTTTCCTTGATGGCCAAAAAGCTCAATTGTAGTCTCATCAGACCAGAGTACCTTCTTCCATATGTTTGGGGAGTCTCAACATGTGTTTTGGCGAACACCAAACGTGTTTGCTTATTTATTTCTTTAAGCAATGGCTTTTTTCTGGCCACCCTTCCGTAAAGCTCAGCTCTGTGGAGTGTACGGCTTAAAGTGGTGCTATGGACATATACTCCAATCTCCGCTTTGGAGCTTTGCAGCTCCTTCAGGGTTATCTTTGGTCTCTTTGTTACCTCTGATTAATGCCCTCCTTGCCTGGTCCGTGAGTTTTGGTGGGCGGCCCTCTCTTGGCAGGTTTGTTGTGGTGCCATATTCTTTCAATTTTTTAATAATGGATTTAAATGGTGCTCCGTGGGATGTTCAAAGTTTCTGATATTTTTTTATAAACCAACCCTGATCTGTACTTCTCCACAACTTTGTCCCTGACCTGTTTGGAGAGCTCCTTGGTCTTCATGGTGCCGTCTGCTTAGTGGTGTTGCAGACTCTGGGGCCTTTCAGAACAGGTGTATATATACTGAGATCATGTGACACTTAGATTGCACACAGGTGGACTTTATTTAACTAATTATGTGATTTCTGAAGGTAATCGGTTGCACCAGATCTTATTTAGGGGCTTCATAGCAAAGGGGGTGAATACATATGCACGCACCACTTTTCCGCTATTTATTTTTTAGAATTTTTTGAAACAAGTAATTTCTTTCATTTCACTTCACCAATTTGGACTATTTTGTGTATGTCCATTACATGAAATCCAAATAAAAATCCATTTAAATTACAGGTTGTAATGCAACAAAATAGGAAAACCGCCAAAGGGGATGAATACTTTTGCAAGGCACTGTAAGTATAAGTATCAAAAGTAAATGTAATTGCTCAAATATACTTAAGTATCAAAAAGAAAAAAAATAAGAAAAAATATCAAATTCCTTATATTAAGCAAACCAGACGGCATGTGTTTTCTTAATTTACGGATAGCCAGGACACTCCAACATTCAGGCATAATTTATAAACAAAGCATGTGTTTAGTGAGTCTGCCAGATCAGAGGCAGTAGAGATGACCAGGGATGTTATTTTGATAAGTGTGTGAGTTGGACCATTTTCCTGTCCTGCTAGGTATTCAAAATGTAACGAGTACTTTTGGGTGTCAGGGAAAATGTATTGAGTAAAAAGTATATTATTTTCTTTAGGAATGTAGCGTAGTAAAAGTTGTCAAAAATATAAATAGTGAAGTAAAGTACAGATACCCCCCAAACACTACTCACCGGCCAGTTTATTAGGAACACCACCCCCTTTACGAAAATGGATCGCTCTTACAGACAGTGAGTCACGTGGCCGTGAATTGCTATATAAAGCAGGCAGACAGGGATCGAGTCATTCAGTTACTGTTCCATTGAACGTTAGAATGGGCAAAACGAGTGACCTAAGCGACTTTAAGCATGTTATGATCGACGGTGCCAGGCACTGCAGTACCTCAGAAATGCCGCCTTCCTGGGCTTTTCACGCACGACAGTGTCTAGGGTTTACCGAGAATGGTGCGACAAACAAAAAATATCCATTCAGCGGCAGTCCTGTTGGCGAAGAAACAGCTTGTTGATGACAGAGCTCAAAGGAGAATGGCAAGAATCGTGCAAGCTAACAGGCGGGCCACAAACAGACAAATAATGGCGCAGTACAGCAGCGGTGTGCCGAACAGCATCTCGGAACGCACAACTTGTCGATCCTTGTCACGGATGGGCTATTGCAGACCACACCATGTTCCACTCCTATCAGCTAAAAACAAGAAGCAGCGGCTCCAGTGGGCATGTGATCAACACCGGACAATTGAGGAGTGGAAAAACATTGCCTGGAACATGACAGCAAGTCCAGTTTACTTGAGTGGCCTGCACAGTCCCTAGACCTCATACCCAATAGAGCATCTTTGGGATGAGATGGAATGGGCAAAGGAGAGTCCGACCCGAACCTAACAAACTGGCCAGTGAGTGTATATTAGATAAGAAGGATGTTAGCCAATTAGGGGTGTAACGATTCGTTTTAACAACGATTCGATTTGTATCACGATTCGTGGTTGTCGATACGATTCAAGGACGATATTGGTTCATTTAGAACGATACGATCCGAAACGATTCAGTGATTTTAAATCGATTCAGTAACCTTTTAGCCAAAAATCAAACCAGTGTGACTGAAATAAATACCTGGTAACCAGTTGCATTTTAATGGCTGGCAATAGTCTTGATATTTTTAACAGTGTTTCATGCCTCCATGCAGACCATCTGGTATTATGAAACTTACCCAGTTCCACAAAGGAGATCCCATTTTCTTCACATAGCTTTATTCAGTGCAGCAGTTTTTTTTGCTCCACCTTTTTGTAAATAAAACTGCAGCAGCTTGACCACAGAGCGATGAAATGTCTCACAGTAAGGAACGTTGCGATCAGCTGATTTCGCGCAATTCTCCAGTGTGTGTGCGGTGCACAGAATGTGCACAAGGGAGTCTCCAACCGCAGCATGTTGCCGGAGTTTTGGCACAACGCCGTTGTAGATACCTACGTTGACAGCAGCCCCGTCTGTGCACACAGCGACCAACTTTGTTGTCCAGTCATCCAAGCCTGTGTCCTGGAAAAGTCTCACAAGTCCGTCTGTTATGGCCTGTGCGGTTCGGTCAGCACCCAATTCAATCAGTCCAATAAAGTCCGAAGTAAATTCTCCGTTGCTGGACACAGACACAATGTAAACTATTTCCTGCTCAGTTTTTGTGATGTCCTCAGATCCATCAAAAAGCATTCAGTAAAGGAACATCCTCAGAATAGGAAGACATGGGACGTGCGTGTTTAGCTTTATGGAAAGAGAAAAATATTAAACAGAGCTTGCCGCTGTTCTTCATTCAGCTTGTCTCGCCATCTGGCAAGTGGGCGACTGGACATTTATTCTCGGCTAGCTTTTAGCAATGGCTTGCGCCACATTCGTGTGCTCCTTGCTCTTTTCATGTTTGTCAAATAAAGGATGGTTGAAATTCTTTGAGCCTTTATAAAATGCACCTGTTTTGTCTGCTAGATGTGGAGTTGAGCGGCAAATCTTGCACCACATTTCAGTGCGCTCATCGTTAGCTTCAAGCCACTGCACATCTTGGAGGCACTTTTCCGAAAAAATTATTTTCTTCGGCTCTGGCTCCAGTTGGCGTTTCTTTGTAGGTGGCGAAACGCCAAAGAAGCTGCTTAATGTCTGTTGCTTTTTGGACATCCCTGACAGTAGTTGACAAGCAACATGTCATGTGTAAGGTTAGATGAGAAGATCGGTCAAGTACGCAAAGGCGCGTAGTAACACAAGTGGCATTACGCATTCCTGATTTTTGTCACGCTTGCGTATCTGCGTACCAGTTATGTGCACCCCTGCATATAAAGTCTGACGTGCTTAAATCCAATGGGTTATTTCCTAGTATCGATACAATCGATTTATTACATTTTAAAACGATGTTAGATCGATATATGTTGTCCAAAAGGCCAACTCGCCGAGCACAGATCGATGTAGTTGGATCATATGAATATAAATCGATACATCGATGTAGTAGATGGATCGTTACACCCCTATAGCCAATGGATGTCCACAGGGTCTGGATGGGTCAGCAGCAGGTTCGAGGGGGAGGTGAGCTCATGACGCACTGTGAAGATCAGCAGAAGAGAAGAAGAGTTGAGATGAATGTTCTTTGATTTGACAAGCGTATCATTGCATAAGTGTCACAAATAAAAGACTATGGGTATTATTAGTGACATCTTACTTTTTAAGGTGTGATATGAAACTGTTTTACCTACAACAGCTGCCCTTACAGGTTATGTTGGGGCTTCTGTTGGGGCTTCTGTTGGGGCTTCTTTTAAATGTGTTGATTTCGGCTTCATCTTCAGGTTGAACTCGCCAAGCTGGAAAACCCCCAGAATTATTGTCTTTAAAAGGCAAACATTTTCTAATCAATCAAATCTTATTGGCAACATGCGCCGAATACAACAGGTGTAGACATTACCGTGAAATGCTTATGAGCCCTTCCCCAACAATGCAGAGTTAAAAAGTATGATTCTTTAGAGCAAATGTAGTCTCAAACTCTAAATGTCACAAACCTTTTTCTTTAATTTCGCCTTCATCTCTTCGTCTGTCATTTTCTGCTCTGTCTCCCCGTCAGGCTTTATCTCAGCCTCTGGTTCAGAGAGGGCAAATAGGTCAGTTGCAGCCACTTTCGCCACAGAGTCTGCAAACAGTCTCTGCCATTCTGTCAATGATTTGTCCTCTGCTTCTGGCTCTGTATGACAGGGCAGTTTCCGCCTTGTCATATAGGTTCTGTTTACCCTGATGGATAAACCTGGGTTGTATATCCTTTTTCTTCCAGTGTTTTCCCTTTTCTCCATTTTCTATTTTGGGGTCCTGTTCTAGAGGGTGCCTCAGAATCCTTTGTAGCCACCGGAGGGACCACAGAATGCAGTTTCTCCCCTTCTATGACTGCTTCTTCTTCTGGCTCTTTCTTGGTACCTGACTCAGAGGGGGGCTCCTTGGCAGCCACCTGAGGAGTGTCTTTAAGCTGTCTCAATATATCTCTAATTAATCTTATAGCGTTGCCTCTTTTATACACTTGTTTATACTCAACTGGTTTAGTCCAACAGGTTTTGAGTCCTGGTTTATGCTGGGATCGACAAGTCTGGGCCACACAGTTTATGTCCTGTTCAGGGATGGGTCTGGGTCCTGCACTTGTACATCCATGTTTGTGAACTGAGGGTTGCCAGTGGCCTGGGTGTATGCCTGGAAAAAGGTTTCTGAAGTGCCATTATACACTGCTCAAAAAAATAAAGGGAACACTTAAACAACACATCCTAGATCTGAATGAATGAAATAATCTTATTAAATACTTTTTTCTTTACATAGTTGAATGTGCTGACAACACAATCACACAAAAATTATCAATGGAAATCAAATGTATCAACCCATGGAGGTCTGGATTTGGAGTCACCCTCAAAATTAAAGTGGAAAACCACACTACAGGCTGATCCAACTTTGATGTAATGTCCTTAAAACAAGTCAAAATGATGCTCAGTAGTGTGTGTGGCCTCCACGTGCCTGTATGACCTCCCTACAACGCCTGGGCATGCTCCTGATGAGGTGGCGGATGGTCTCCTTAGGGATCTCCTCCCAGACCTGGACTAAAGCATCCGCCAACTCCTGGACAGTCTGTGGTGCAACGTGGTGTTGGTGGATGGAGCGAGACATGATGTCCCAGATGTGCTCAATTGGATTCAGGTCTGGGGAATGGACGAGCCAGTCCATAGCATCAATGCCTTCCTCTTGCAGGAGCTGCTGACACACTCCAGCTACATGAGGTCTAGAATTGTCTTGCATTAGGAGGAGCCCAGGGCCAACCGCACAAGCATATGGTCTCACAAGGGGTCTGAGGATCTCATCTCGGTACCTAATGGCAGTCAGGCTACCTCTGGCGAGCACATGGAGGGCTGTGCGGCCCCCCAACGAAATGCCACCCCACACCATGACTGACTCACCGCCAAACCGGTCATGCTGGAGGATGTTGCAGGCAGCAGAACGTTCTCCACGGCGTCTCCAGATTCTGTCACGTCTGTCACGTGCTCAGTGTGAACCTGCTTTCATCTGTGAAGAGCACAGGGCGCCAGTGGCGAATTTGCCAATCTTGGTGTTCTCTGGCAAATGCCAAACGTCCTGCACGGTGTTGGGCTGTAAGCACAACCCCCACCTGTGGACGTCGGGCCCTCATGGAGTCTGTTTCTGACCGTTTGAGCAGACACATGCACATTTGTGGCCTGCTGGAGGTCATTTTGCAGGGCTCTGGCAGTGCTCCTCCTGCTCCTCCTTGCACAAAGGCGGAGGTAGCAGTCCTGCTGATGGGTTGTTGCCCTCCTACGGCCTCCTCCACGTCTCCTGATGTACTGGCCTGTCTCCTGGTAGCGCCTCCATGCTCTGGACACTACGCTGACAGACACAGCAAACCTTCTTGCCACAGCTCGCATTGATGTGCCATCCTGGATGAGCTGCACTACCTGAGCCACTTGTGTGGGTTGTAGACTCCATCTCATGCTACCACTAGAGTGAAAGCACCGCCAGCATTCAAAAGTGACCAAAACATCAGCCAGGAAGCATAGGAACTGAGAAGTGGTCTGTGGTCACCACCTGCAAAACCAGTCCTTTATTGGGGGTGTCTTGCTAATTGCCTATAATTACCACCTGTTGTCTATTCCATTTGCACAACAGCATGTGACATTTATTGTCAATCAGTGTTGCTCCTAAGTGGACAGTTTGATTTCACAGAAGTGTGATTGACTTGGAGTTACATTGTGTTGTTTAAGTGTTCCCTTAATTGTTTTGAGCAGTGTATATAAAATAGCCAAATCGAAAAAGTAACGTTGCCACTTAAAGGTGCAAGCATTGATTGTAATGATTGTTTACCTCCAGTCTGCCACCTTCTCCTGCGCTAATGGTACCCTCGCGCAGGCCTTTGTGTTCGCCGTCTCATTCTGGATCTTGAGGGTTCAAACAACTTCTGAAAAATCTGAGTGCTTTGACTTGAAAATACTATTGTATAGATGAGGTTAAATTTGTTAGAACGGCAACTGATCAAACAACAAACTCATTTCCAGTCCCCTACTTCTATAGTTAAATGATTTCAGCTTCATAGGATCAAAAATCCAATACTGCCACCAATAGGGCAGGGTGCGAAAGGGCATGGAATTTTCTAATACAAAACCAATGGAAGTTGTCCCTGAAAAGGAATGTGAAGCTCAATGCATTGGTGAAGTTACTTTGAAATATGATACACTACACACTTACAATATTAGACAGAATATTTTATTCAATTACATACTTACAAAGTGAAAGATGATCTATAGAAATAGGAGGTCCGACTAAACTGGGGAGTGAAACATGGGCAGTTTTCAGGCATGAGAACTTACAAACATAATGCCGTCAATAGTCGCATCGATACACATGTACTATGCCTAGGGCCAGGTGTTTTTCCTGACCACATGACCAGACCAAGTAAACTCCCCGCCCTTATTTGGTTTATAACAGGAGAGAACATGTGTTTGCTGATCAGATATCATGGTCAAGAAAAACTCCTGGCCCTACCCTAGCCCAATAATGGACTAAAGGAGCCTAACTTTACACCTTATAGTCCAAGGACCATACATATACTGTTTGAGGCGAATTGTCTCTGGCAGCCAAATACTCCATCTAAATGCAATTCGATTCTCAATTGCGGTATGGTTCTACATTTACATTTTAGTCATTTAGCAGACGCTCTTATCCAGAGCGACTTACAGTTAGTGAGTGCATACATCATTTTTTAAATTTTTCATACTGGCCCCCCGTGGGAATCAAACCCACAACCCTGGCGTTGCAAACGCCATGCTCTACCAACTGAGCTACATCCCTGCCGGCCATTCCCTCCCCTACCCTGGACGACACTGGGCCAATTGTGCGCCGCCCCATGGGTCTCCCGGTCGCGGCCGGCTACGACAGAGCCTGGATTCGAACCAGGATCTATAGTGGCACAGCTAGACCATTGCGCCACACGGGAGCCTGAAACAAAGCCATCTACTTTCATATGCAAAATATACACTTACTCTACTGTTATAACCGCTTTTAAAAGAGTTGCAGCCGACAGTATTTTTCAGTGACAACATGTTTGTGGTGTCCATCTTCCGTTTACACACAGGTGTTTGGAGACGCAGATAGCTAACTAGCACAGGTAGTCGACTGTCTTCCGTCTGTTTTCCGTAAACAAGCACTGTAACATGAAAATATGGCCATGTGGGAACCCTAACCCAATAAAGGTGCGTTGTATTTTTACTTTTTTTTCGCCGATATGAAAGATAGTTACTTATGTTTCCAAAATCGTACTGCAAGCAATGCGTGTTAACGTTTAGTGCAAGTGTCGGGGCTCTTAATAAAACTCCCCCGGCCAGAAGATACTATCGTCAATAGGCGCTAAAGGTACTTAGCGGTTGTTTCTCCCCTTGTCTCTTTCTCAGCCTCTGGTTCAGAGAGGAAGCCAGGGCCCGTTGTAGCCGCTTTCTCCACAGCGTCCATCTATAATTGCGTCGTCCTCTCCTTCTCGGTCTTTCTCAGCCTTTAGTTCCAAGAGGACGCGAGGGCCCTTTACAGACACTTTCTCCACATGATCTGCAAGCAGTTTCTCCTCTTCGAACTTAGTTTCTTCCTCTCTTTCTGGTTCTTTCTTGGGCCCTGGTTCAGAGAGAAGCCCAGAGTCATTTGTAGCCACCTGAGGAAGCAGTTTCTCTATTGTGTCTGCAAGCAGTTCCTCACCTTCTGTCGTTCCTCCCTCCCCTTCCATTTTGGGTGCTGGGGAATGCTGCTTTTTAGTTAGCTTATCGACAGCATCAGAAATACATTTTGGATTTTTTTTTTTCCCAGTCAGGTTGATCAAGTAGGTTGATCGAGCAGCAGTGAGGGCTTTTCGATATTGCATGGTACTGTCTTTCCGAGCTTGTCGGAAGACTTGCAATTTGGGGAGGGACTTCTTTGTCGCCATCTGACAGGACAATTTCGCTAAGGCTTGTGCCTTCTTCCGTCTCCTTTCCTTGCGGTTACCTGCTGGAGTGATGGAAAGCTGGAGGTTGCTAGCAGGCTGGGTGTATGCGTATGTCTGGTTTAAGGCTGTGGTGCCATTAGAGTAATATGGGGGGAAGTTGGTGTAGGGTAGATCCCCAGGGGCGTTAGGTAGGAGGGGCTTTTTACCAGGCAGCATGGCACCAGCAGGCATGATTCCAGGGGGCATTATACCAGGCAGCATGGCACCAGTGGGTATGATTCCAGGAAGCATGGTACCAGGGGGCATAATACCAGGAAGCATGGTACAAGGGGGCATGGTACCAGGGGGATAACCCCACACTGGAGGGAAGGCGATGGTGTAGGGGCTGCTCTGGTATGCCATATACTGAGAGTACTGGGTGGTGGAGCAGGTTGCCATCATAGATGCATGAGGAGGATGAGAAACAGGGTATATAGGGTTCATGGAGTATGAGTTGAGCTCAATGGAGCTTTCCCTGGACTCATCCCCATACCTATTCCTCTCAGATCTCTCTATGTCCCAGTCTCTAGTACTAGAGTAGCTGTCCCAGTCACTCTCGCTGTTCCAGTTTCTGGTCCTAGAAGGTTTGTCCCCGTCTCTGGTCCTTTGCAGCCACCTGTCTATGTCCTTGTCTATCTCTCGGTTTCTGTCTCTCTCAGATCTGTATCGGTTCCTGTCCCTCTCAGATTTGTCCCCATCTCTCACTCTGTCCCAGTCTTTCTCTCGGCCTCCGTCCCTGCCTTTCCCTGGTTCTCTGTCCCTATCTCTCTCAGATCTGTATCTGTCCCTGTCTCGCTCAGATCTGTCCCGGTCTTTCTCTCGTTCTCTGTCCCCGTCTTTCTCTGGGTCCCTGTCTCTCTCAGATCTGTCCCAGTCTTTCTCTCGGCCTCCGTCCCTGCCTTTCCCTGGTTCTCTGTCCCTATCTCTCTCAGATCTGTATCTGTCCCTGTCTCTCTCAGATCTGTCACAGTCTTTCTCTCCGTTCCTTTCTGATCTGTTCCTTTCTCTGACTACTGGTAGGTCCTTGTCTCTCTCTCTGGTACTAGAGTGTCTGTGCCCATCTCTCTCTCCATCTCTTTCAGATTTGTCCCTTTCTCTGACTATATCCTCGTCCCGGTCTCTGGTACTAGAGTGTCTGTGCCAGTCTCTCTCAGATCTGTCCCTGTGTCTCTCTATGTCCCATACCCTGTTACTAGAGCTACTGTATTCAACGGTCATGTTTGAGTGCTGGTTTAGAAGGGGGCTAGGGCTGGTGCTGTCTGATGGTAATGAGGAAGTACTGAGATGTTTAAATGAGGGCTCTCTCTCCTCTCCATTCTCCTTCCTTTTCAAGTCTCCCATCTTCCCGTACAGCCTATCATTGGTCCTGTCTGTCAGCCGACCCAACTCCTCAACCCCCAGGTCCAGCCCAACGATCTCCAGCAGGGTCTGCATCCGCTCGTACCGCTGCTCATCTTCAAGCCCCACCACCTTCTTCTCCTCAACCGGAGAAGACTTGGATCTACTGCTGGAGTCAACATTACCCTCGAGCAGAGTGGGCCAAACTTGTGGTAGCTCCTCGCCCACAACGGGTAACTCATTTACATTGTTGACGATCTTTGAGAGCTTGTTGATGTCCACCCCTTCGTTGAGGACATTGAGGAAGCGCTGGAAGCCTGTGGCTGCTATGTCTTGCTCCTGTGTCCTGAGTGAGTGAACTGGTCTCTTAATGGTTGGATTATGTTGTTTATCATTAGGGTCCACCTAGAAGGAAACATATGAGGAATCATCAATGAATATCTATCCACTTCAGCTATAAACAAACTAGTGCAGGGCGATTAACCGACATTTCAGTTATTTTTTGTTTTTTAAACAACTATTTGACCGACGTAGTTTCAATTATTTGAATTCCATTTCGTTGTTTTTTCCTGTGAGCTCAATGCGCACATTGCCTAAATCAGACATAAATCAAATCCAGCCTGAACTGTGCGATGTAGTTTCCGACAGGCCAATATTCTACATAGTTTAGCGCATAAAACGTGGTAATTAACTACAATTACAATAATCCATTGCGCATATACTTGTCCGGTCTGTGTTTCTTTTATGCCTGATACTGAAGAGAAACGAATGTGAGATCGTGAGGTGATATAGAGAGCACCTGTTGCTTCGCAAGGTATCTCTACCTGAAAATACATGACCTAAGTGATTGATAGTTGGTATTCAGCAGTCATAAAAAGTATGCCTTATTTACTTTTAAGAACTACAAAATAGTGATTTTGTCAGACAGCAGCTCTATAGAGATGAGATGACTTGGAATGAAATAATAAAGTCATAAAATAAAACAAATGTAATATACACAACTGAAATATTTTATTACATTAAAGTAATGTGAATAAATGATGGTTAATAAGTATTAAGCAGTAATTGGCAGTCACTACCATCATGGGACTTTTATTAATTGTTTTATTCTGTGTTACAGCATTCAACCCACATAATGCACGATGCATTTCATGTTTTAAAAAAATTACCGACACTGAAATCAAAAAGCACTAATCGCTCAGCACAAAAAAAAAAGGGGGGGTTTGATCTGCTTCTATCATGAACACCGCCCATCAAACGTAGCCTTCCTTTACGTATCGCTTAAGTGTGGATTTCACACTACCTTTGTGTTTTCATGGGCTTGTATGTTCATCTGAATGTCACAATGGATGTATTTGGTTGCATTCTGTCAACTGCTTTTTACTCATAATTACTCAGTCAGCAATGATTGGCTTTTAGCTGGCTAGTTATGCTACAAGTCCATCTCAATGACTGTTTGCATGCTAGGTAGCAATTGATGCATCAGGTGGTTGACAGGGATGACACTAACATACAGTGGGGGAAAAAAGTATTTAGTCAGCCACCAATTGTGCAAGTTCTCCCACTTAAAACTATGAGAGAGGCCTGTAATTTTCATCATAGGTACACGTCAACTATGACAGAGAAAATGAGGAAAAAAAATCCAGAAAATCACATTGTAGGATTTTTAATGAATTTATTTGCAAATTATGGTGGAAAATAAGTATTTGGTCAATAACAAAAGTTTCTCAATACTTTGTTATATACCCTTTGTTGGCAATGACACAGGTCAAACGTTTTCTGTAAGTCTTCACAAGGTTTTCACACACTGTTGCTGGTATATCCCACGGGGGGCCAGTATAAAAAATATATATATATGTATTCACTAACTGTAAGTCGCTCTGGATAAGAGCGTCTGCTAAATGACTAAAATGTAAAATGTAAATGTAAATATTTTGGCCCATTCCTCCATGCAGATCTCCTCTAGAGCAGTGATGTTTTGGGGCTGTCGCTGGGCAATACGGACTTTCAACTCCCGCCAAAGATTTTCTATGGGGTTGAGATCTGGAGACTGGCTATGCCACTCCAGGACCTTGAAATGCTTCTTACGAAGCCACTCCTTCGTTGCCCGGGCGGTGTGTTTGGGATCATTGTCATGCTGAAAGACCCAGCCACGTTTCATCTTCAATGCCCTTGCTGATGGAAGGAGGTTTTCACTCAAAATCTCATGATACATGGCCCCATTCATTCTTTCCTTTACACGGATCAGTCGTCCTGGTCCCTTTGCAGAAAAACAGCCCCAAAGCATGATGTTTCCACCCCCATGCTTCACAGTAGGTATGGTGTTCTTTGGATGCAACTCAGCATTCTTTGTCCTCCAAACACGACGAGTTGAGTTTTTACCAAAAAGTTATATTTTGGTTTCATCTGACATTCTCCCAACCTCTTCTGGATCATCCAAATGCACTCTAGCAAACTTCAGACGGGCCTGGACATGTACTGGCTTAAGCAGGGGGACACGTCTGGTACTGCAGGATTTGAGTCCCTGGCAGCGTAGTGTGTTACTGATGGTAGGCTTTGTTATTTTGGTCCCAGCTCTCTGCAGGTCATTCACTAGGTCCCCCCGTGTGGTTCTGGGATTTTTGCTCACCGTTCTTGTGATCATTTTGACCCCACAGGGTGAGATCTTGCGTGGAGCCCCAGATCGAGGGAGATTATCAGTGGTCTTGTATGTCTTCCATTTCCTAATAATTGCTCCCACAGTTGATTTCTTCAAACCAAGCTGCTTACCTATTGCAGATTCAGTCTTCCCAGCCTGGTGCAGGTCTACAATTTTGTTTCTGGTGTCCTTTGACAGCTCTTTGGTCTTGGCCATAGTGGAGTTTGGAGTGTGACTGTTTGAGGTTGTGGACAGGTGTCTTTTATACTGATAACAAGTTCAAACAGGTGCCATTAATACAGGTAACGAGTGGAGGACAGAGGAGCCTCTTAAAGAAGAAGTTACAGGTCTGTGAGAGCCAGAAATCTTGCTTGTTTGTTATTGACCAAATACTTATTTTCCACCATAATTTGCAAATAAATTCATTAAAAATCCTACAATGTGATTTTCTGGATTTTTTTCCCTCATTTTCTCTGTCATAGTTGACGTGTACCTATGATGAAAATTACAGGCCTCTCTCATCTTTTTAAGTGGGAGAACTTGCACAATTGGTGGCTGACTAAATACTTTTTCCCCCCACTGTAGCAGTTCTAGAAAAAACTATAGGCCTATAAGAACACAAAAAATATTATGAAGCATACAAGTAAGTAGACACTTTATATCTAGCCTATTTGGAATGGGTGTCAATGGCACAAATCCATTGTATTAATCGGGGGCCATGGTTTTCTTGACTTCCTCCTTATGATTATTTTGCCGGTCTCTATGTTTTGTTATGGCTACATACCTCCTCATTGTTGGGATAGCGTCGTTGGTTCGTTAAAGCCCTCACCCTCAGTCTCAGAGGATGGGCCTCTTCATTTTCTAGGGAAGCGCTAATCATCATCTCCAGTGCTCGTATTTTGTTTCGTTTTTTCGGCTTGGCAGGGGTATCCTGGAGGAAAATAGAGACAATATTTTAGTATGTGTAATGCAGTTGCCCCTGAATAGTGATCTAAGGTCCGTTTTTATTTACCTCTTAATGGTTAATGTAAGTTCCAGGATTTGGGTAACTGATCCTAGATCTGTGTTAGGGGAAAGGGGGGGGGCATTGGTGCATTTTTTATTTTTGCTATGCATAAGCCATAAACAATAAAGGCTTTCTTTTTTTCCACTACACGCTAGTGCTTTGATTTTCTGCTTTTTTTTTGGCATTGTTTACTATCCAGCAACTTCTTTTTGATCTATCAGGGAAGATCTATTCATAACAGTGTTGAGGTCAATTCGGAATGTAATTAAATTCAACCCATTAATTGAAATTCAAATTTGAATTGTTCACACCCCACAGGAAGCAGAATTTGAATATACTTTTTAATAAAGGAAGTAGAATTTTAAATAAATTCAACTGTGACATGAATATATGAGTCTCAATCCTTTGACAAATTATTTGCCAAAGTCACCTGCCACCTCTTACTAAAGAATACAGATACCATTTTAAATGTTAGTTTGATTAAAACTCAATGATGTCAAATAGTATTTAGTTTGTATTTTTGTCATGAAATGTTCCCTTCCATTCTGGAGTGTTTGATCTAATGCATTCTGAGAAATGTATGTTTTTCTATCATTACATTTAATAACATTTAAAGTGAATGATAAATTATTAGAGACACCCTACATAATTATCTTAGAATATCTCCAGACCACTAATTATAACTTGTTTTAGGAGGATGAGTTTTAAAAATGAAATGTTTTAAGAACATGTTTAGCCCAGGGGTTTAGCAGTATAGCACTTACCCACCCTGCGTCTTATTTCCCGACCCTAGACTGTGCCCGTTTCCCACGTCGGAGGGAATTTCCGTGGTTGGTAGACGGTTCTGATTTGCGTCGCCGAGCAGTGCCCAGGAAACAATTCAATTCAATTCAATTGATGGATGCTACCTTCCCTCCAAATCAAACTCAAACACGAATTCCATGTTGTGTTATTGCTTTGTGCACACGTTTGTCTGTGTTTTACACCCGTTTGTCCTAACTAATCAGCCTCCAATAAGGGCGCCGTGCTTCAACAGACAGGAAGTAGAAAGGGTGTGCGTGCGCGCAAACATTGACATTCATACTTGATTTTAACACTTTCTTGTGCACAGGTAATGTGAGGGATGCCGATTTAATAAGAACTGTGTTCCGACTATGGATAAATCTACCAACGTCAGACACGCGCTACTAAAACAGTTAGTAATTTCAGCGTGACTTAACTTACACGCTTCTCCAATGCCATGCCCCAAGACCGAATGTTAAATAAATGTATTTACAAGTTATTAACTGTATACATGACGACGAGCTTGTAGGGCTAGAACATGTCAAACATAGTATTGGTCACCATACATGATGTCAACATGAACATAATGATGTATGGAATAAATGATCTATTAGAATTTCATTGAATTAAATTCTACAGACAACTGAAAGGGGATTCGACCCAAATCTAGATTTTGCATTAACTTTCCCTTCAATTCAAATTCAATTCTGCTTCCTGTGGTGTGGCCAATTCAAATCCAATAATTTTATGGGAATTAATGACCAATTAGCAATATAATTCAGATTTGACACCAAACCTGATTAATAAAATCAGAACTAATAGATACATACATACCTGACGAAGTAGGTAACCTACCGGTGTTCTTCTGAGCTTACTCACAATGTCCAGCACCCTCCGTTTAAGAGGTAGGCGTGACGACTTGTCCGCAACATTATTGTCCTTAGCTCCCCGTTTAACCTTTTGCATAGCAAGAACAGCTTTCTTGCGAGCTATCTTTTCCTCTATGACCTCCAGCTCCTTCTTCTTACGAGCGAGCTCCAGGTCCTCCACATTGGGCTCCACAGGATCTCCATCATCTGTGTCTGGGGAGAAGGGAGCACCGCTACCCCTCAATGAGCCTTTGCTCCAGTCTCTGGACGATGGGTCCATGCTGTAGTTCATAGCAGAGGAAGCACCATACTCTTCCCAACCTTCTCTAGTCCTCCTCATGCTGGAGTATTCACTGTAGGGCTCTCTGGCCATACCCTGGCCGTTGCCTCTCTTTTCAAGGTCATCGTCCCATTGTCCTGAGCTCGGTTCTCCGTACTCCCTCCGCCGACTGTACCTCTCTGGTTCTTCATACTGCCTCTGTCGACTGTGCCTCTCTGGATCCATTGGGTATATACTGCCAAGGTGCCTGAGCTGGGCTGACACTCCAGATTCACTGCAGACAAAGAGGTGGGGAACTTTACTGTGTGTCTGGGTGACAACTATATAACAGTAAGTATGTGATGTGGTTGATTATGCTATATTTGATGTTCTTTGCCCCGATATGCATGTTCAAGGCAAGACATAAGGACTCAAACTAATTAACAGGCTTCTAAACAAACAAGTTGAGTTCCAATATGTAGGTAATTGCATTTCACTTCTATAATGCTAGCTTGCTTGTACGTTGTTTTGAATGCCAGTTGAAATGTGCTAACGTTAGCCAGCTGGCTATAGTTAACTACGTAGCTAGTTTGTAATGTAATTTTCAGAGCAGGCTGGCATATACCTTGCTAACTATTGTAAATGTAAGCATGCAAGATAGAATATCGACAAAAATATATGAAATTGCCACACTGAAATTGTTACATTGCACATTTTCCATAATAAGTGGCAAACATTGATTGTAGCTAATGATGGTCTACCTCGAGTCTGCCCCCTTCTCCTGCGCTGATGCTACCGTCGCGCAGGCCTTTGCGTTCGCCGTCTCGTTCTGGCTCTTGAGGGGTCAAACAACTTGCATGCACACTACCAGTCTCTCTTAAAAATCGGAGTGGTTTGACTTTAATATAAATTGTATAGATTAAATGTATTATAAAAGGCAACTGGTTAACCAACAATAAACTCGTTTCCTCAGTCGACTACGTCTATAGTTCTATGGTTTCAGCTTCATAGGATCGAAATTGCAATACTGCCACCAATAGGAAGGAGTACAAAGAGCATGGAATTTTCTAATACTAAACCAATAAATTACTTTAACATACTCCACACTTACAATATTAGACATATTTTATTCAATTAAATATATACAAATGAAAGATGATCTATAGACTGGACTGGGGAGTGAACCATGGGCAGTTTTCTTGCTTTTAGCTATCATGCACGAGAACTTATAAACATGACGCCTTCAATGGTCTTTTCATCACATTGATACACATGTACTATGCCCAGGGCCAGGAGTTTTCCTGACCACATGACCAGACCAAGTAAACTCCACGCCCTTATTAGTTGGTTTATAAAAGGAGGTGAAAATGCATATGCTGAGCAGATATCATAGTCAATAAAAACTCTTGGCCCTACCCATACCACAAACACACAATACAAAAACATTATACTGAAAATAGCTTCAACATGAAGCATTTAAGGATGAGGTTAAACTATAACAAATGTTTTGCTAGTTTCATTACAAATATAGCTTCCTGAGGGACCACTTATTCTACCGTGTCAGCATGTAGTTTCTCCCCATTGCTACTCCTTCTGGGTCTTGGGCTCCGGTTCAAAGGGGAAATCCTTTACAGCCACCTGAGGGGCCACTTTCCCTGCTGCTTCTGCAAGCAATCGCTTTCTTTTGTGCTGGTGAGCCTTATTCCTCCTCTTCACAAGCCGTTTCAACTTATATTGACACTTCCTTAGATGACTGTGATAACTCTTCATGAATATACCTGTGAAGAATATATTGGTTTCCCCCCTTTGATTTCTTCATGGACCATGGTTCAGAGGGGGACTTTCTCCTAAAACATTTGAGAGGAATGGGATATTCGATATTTTAGATTTTCCGGATCAAGGTTTGGCTTTTTCAGGAGAGACTTTATTACTGCCACTTTTAGTGAGTTTGGTACACATCCGGAGGATAGGGAGCCATTTATTATTTTCAACATAGGAGTGCCAAGCATCATAGAACTTCATGAATTCATCACTGCTGAAGTGAAGTGAAGGCCATCCTCACTTGGGGAATGCTGCTTTTTAGTTAGCTTTTCGACAGCATCAGAAATACATTCTGGATTGTTTTTATTCTCCTCAGTCAGGTTGGACAAGTAGGCTGATCGAGCAGCAGTGAGGGCTTTTCGATATTGCATGGTACTGTCTTTCCAAGCTAGTCGGAAGACTTCCAATTTGGTGGAGCACCATTTCCGTTCTAATTTTCTGCAAACTTGCTTCAGGGCTCGGGTATTTTCTGTATACCAGGGAGCTAGTTTCTTGTGACAAATTGGGGGGTTAAGTAGGAGGGGCAAGACTGCTGCAGTGCTGGCAGGCTGGGTAGATGAGAGCTGGAGGATGCTAGCAGGCTGGGTAGATGAGAGCTGGAGGTTGCTAGCAGGCTGGGTAGATGAGAGCTGGAGGTTACTGGCAGGCTGGGTAGATGAGAGCTGGAGGTTACTGGCAGGCTGGGTAGATGAGAGCTGGAGGTTGCTAGCAGGCTGGGTAGATGAGAGCTGGAGGTTGCTGGCAGGCTGGGTAGATGAGAGCTGGAGGTTGCTGGCAGGCTGGGTAGATGAGAGCTGGAGGTTGCTGGCAGGCTGGGTAGATGAGAGCTGGAGGTTGCTGGCAGGCTGGGTAGATGAGAGCTGGAGGTTGCTGGCAGGCTGGGTAGATGAGAGCTGGAGGTTGCTGGCAGGCTGGGTAGATGAGAGCTGGAGGTTGCTGGCAGGCTGGGTAGATGAGAGCTGGAGGTTGCTAGCAGGCTGTGTAGATGAGAGCTGGAGGTTGCTAGCAGGCTGGGTAGATGAGAGCTGGAGGTTGCTAGCAGGCTGGGTAGATGAGAGCTGGAGGTTGCTGACAGGCTGGGTAGATGAGAGCTGGAGGTTGCTAGCAGGCTGGGTAGATGAGAGCTGGAGGTTGCTAGCAGGCTGGGTAGATGAGAGCTGGAGGTTGCTGGCAGGCTGGGTAGATGAGAGCTGGAGGTTGCTGGCAGGCTGGGTAGATGTGAGCTGGAGGTTGCTAGCAGGCTGGGTAGATGTGAGCTGGAGGTTGCTAGCAGGCTGGGTAGATGAGAGCTGGAGGTTGCTGGCAGGCTGGGTAGATGAGAGCTGGAGGTTGCTAGCAGGCTGGGTAGATGTGAGCTGGAGGTTGCTGGCAGGCTGGGTAGATGTGAGCTGGAGGTTGCTAGCAGGCTGGGTAGATGTGAGCTGGAGGTTGCTAGCAGGCTGGGTAGATGTGAGCTGGAGGTTGCTAGCAGGCTGGGTAGATGTGAGCTGGAGGTTGCTGGCAGGCTGGGTAGATGAGAGCTGGAGGTTGCTAGCAGGCTGGGTAGATGTGAGCTGGAGGTTGCTGGCAGGCTGGGTAGATGTGAGCTGGAGGTTGCTGGCAGGCTGGGTAGATGAGAGCTGGAGGTTGCTAGCAGGCTGGGTAGATGTTAGCTGGAGGTTGCTAGCAGGCTGGGTGTATGCGTATGTCTGGTTTAAGGCTGCTATGCTATTAGAGTAATATGGGCTAGGTAGGAGGGACATTTTACCAGGCGGTATGGCACCAGAGGGCATGAATCCAGGTGGCATGAATCCAGGTGGCATGAATCCAGGTGGCATGGTACCAGGGGGCATAATACCAGGAAGCATGGTACCAGGGGGATAACCCCACCCTGGAGGGAAGGCGATGGTGTAGGGGCTGCTCTGGTATGCCATATACTGAGAGTACTGGGTTGTGGAGTAGGTTGCCATCATAGATGCATGAGGAGGATGAGAAACAGGGTTTATAGGGTTCATGGAGTATGAGTTGAGCTCAATGGAGCTTTCCCTGGACTCATCCCCATACCTATTCCTCTCAGATCTCTCTATGTCCCTGTCTCTAGTACTAGAGTTGCTATCCCAGTTGCTCTCGCTGTCCCAGTCTCTGGTCCTAGAACGTTTGTCCCTTTGCAGCCACCTGTCTCTCTCAGATCTGTATCTGTCCCTGTCTCTCTCAGATCTGTCCCGGTATTTCTCTGGGTCTCTGTCCCTGTGTCTCTCAGATCTGTATCTGTCCCTGTCTCTCTCAGATCTGTATCTGCCTTTCTCTCCATTTCTTTCTGATCTCTTCATTTCTCTGACTACTGGTAGGTCCTTGTCTCTCTCTCTGGTACTAGAGTGTCTGTGCCCATCTCTCTCTCCATCTCTTTCAGATTTGTCCCTTTCTCTGACTATATCCTCCTCCCTCTCTCTGTCCCGGTCTCTGGTACTAGAGTGTCTGTGCCAGTCTCTCTCAGATCTGTCCCTGTGTCTCTCTATGTCCCATACCCTGTTACTAGAGCTACTGTATTCAACGGTCATGTTTGAGTGCTGGTTTAGAAGGGGGCTAGGGCTGGCGCTGTCTGATGGTAATGAGGAAGTACTGAGATGTTTAAATGAGGGCTCTCTCTCCTCTCCATTCTCCTTCCTTTTCAAGTCTCCCATCTTCCCGTACAGCCTATCATTGGTCCTGTCTGTCAGCCGACCCAACTCCTCAACCCCCAGGTCCAGCCCAACGATCTCCAGCAGGGTCTGCATCCGCTCGTACCGCTGCTCATCCTCAAGCCTCACCACCTTCGTCTCCTCAACCGGAGAAGACTTGGATCTACTGCTGGAGTCAACATTACCCTCGAGCAGTGTGGGCCAAACTTGTGGTAGCTCCTCGCCCACAACGGGTAACTCATTTACATCGTTGACGATCTTTGAGAGCTTGTTGATGTCCACCCCTTCGTTGAGGACATTGAGGAAGCGCTGGAAGCCTGTGGCTGCTATGTCTTGCTCCTGTGTCCTTAGTGAGTGAACTGGTCTCTGAATGGTTGGATTATGTTGTTTATCATTAGGGACCACCTAACAGGAGACATGAGGAAATATCAATGAATATCTATCCACTTCAGCTATAAAGAAACAACATGTGTTTGATCTGCTTGCATCATCAAGACTGCCCATCAAACGTAGCCTTCATTTACGTATCGCTTATGTGTGCATTTCACACTACCTTGGTGTTATCATGGGCTTGCTCTGTTCATCTGAATGTCACGATAGATGTACAGTGCCCTTCGTAATTATTGGGACAGTGAAGCATTTTTTCTCCTTTTGGCTCTATACTCCAAAAGTTTGGATTTTAAATCAAACAATGGCTATGAGGTTAAAGTGCATACTGTCAGCTGTAAATTATTTTTATCCATATCCGCTGAACCGTTTAGAAATGACAGCACGTTCTGTACATAGTCCCCCCCATTTTAGGGGACCAAAACAAATTCACTTGTGTATTAAAAAGTTATAATAAATTAAGTATTTGGTCCCATATTCCTAGTACGCAATGACCACATCAAGCTTGTGACTCCAAATTTGTTGGATGCATTTGCTGTTTGTTTTGGTTGCGTTTCAGATTATTTTGTGTCCAATAGAAATGAATGGTAAATAATGTATTGTGTCATTTTGGAGTCACTTTTATTGTAAATAAGAGTAGAATATGTTTCTAAATACTTCTCCATTAATGTAGATCCTACCACGACTACGGATAATCCTGAATGAATCATGAATAATGATAAGTGAGAAAGTTAAAGACGCACAAATACATCATACCCCCAAGAAATGCTAACCTCTCACCATTACAATAACGGGAGGCTAGCATGGGGGTATGATATTTGTGCATCTCTAACTTTCTCACATAATTATTCACGATTCATTCAGGATTATCCATAATCATGGTAGGATCCACATTAATGGAGAAGTGTTTAGAAACATATTATATTCTTATTTACAATAAAAGTGACTCCAAAATTATTATACATTATTTACCATTCATTTCTATTGGACACAAAATAATCTGAAACGCAACCAAAACAAACAGCAAATGCATCCAACAAAGCTTGATGTAGTCATTGCGAGCTCTGAATGTGGGACCAAATACTTACATTTTTACTACTTTAATAGACATAAGGGAATTTGTCCCAATACTTTTGGTCCCCTAAAATGGGGGTACTATGTACAGAAAGTGCTGTAATTTCTAAACGGTTCACCCGATATGGATGAAAATAGTTTGATTTCAAATTCAAACTTGTGGAGTAGAGCCAAAAGAAGATACAATGCTTCACTGTCCCAATACTTACAGAGGGCACTGTATTTGGTTGCATTCTGTCAACTGCATTTTACTCATAATTACTCATTCAGCAATGATTGGCTGTTTTCTGACTAGCTATGCTACAAGTCCATCTCAATGACTGCTAGCATGATAGGTAGCAATTGATGCATCTGAAAGGATAACAACATTTTCATGCAGGTGGTTGACGGAGATGACACGAATATAGCCGTGACATTCTAGACAACACTATAGGCCTATAAGAACACAACAAATATTATGAAGCATACAAGTAAGTAGACACTTTATATCTAGCCTATTTGGAATGGGTGTCAATGGCACAAATCCATTGTATTAAATAATAATAATAATATGCCATTTAGCAGACGCTTTTATCCAAAGCGACTTACAGTCATATTAATCGGGGGCCATGGTTTTCTTGACTTCCTCCTTATGATTATTTTGCCGGTCTCTATGTTTTGTTATGGCTACATACCTCCTCATTGTTGGGATAGCGTCGTTGGTTCGTTAAAGACCTCACTCTCAATCTCAGAGGATGGGCCTCTTCATTTTCTAGGGAAGCGCTAATCATCAGCTCCAATGCTCGCATCTTGTTTTGTTTCTTCCGCTTGGCAGGGGTATCCTGGAGGAAAATAGAGAATATTTTAATAGAATATATGCCATTTAGCAGACGCTTTTATCCAAAGCGACTTAGTCATACGTGCCTACAATTTACGTATGCGTGGTCCCAGGAATCGAACCCAATACCCTGGCGTTACAAGCGCCATGCTCTACCAACTGAGCTACAAAAGACCACATACTACCTACCTCTTTAAGGAATACCTGGAATAGTATAAAGTAATCCTTCTTCCCACACAAAAAAAGAAAAGGTGGTTGTCCCACTGGCTATCATAAGTTGAATGCACCAATTTGTAAGTCGCTCTGGATAAGAGCGTCTGCTAAATTATGTAAATGTAATACTAAAAGGACCATTTTAGTATGTGTAATGAAGTTGCCCCTGGATAGTGATCCAAGGTTAGTTTTTATTTACCCCTTAATAGTTCATGTAAGAACCAGGATTTTCTACTGCTAAGTCCATGTAGTAGAAACATCAGAATCCAAACATCAAGAAAGATCTGGTGGTCACCCTGATGGTGTTTTCTTTTTTATTCTTGATATGCATAAACCGTAAACAATAAAGGCGTTTTACTTTTTTCCACTACACGGAAAATTGATTAATTCTGGAAATGTTTTGCACAAATGCTTTTTTTTGGCATTATTTATTATCTAGCATCAACTTATTTTTGATCTATCAGGAAAGATCTATTCATAACAGGACTGAGGTCAATTCGGAATTAAAATTATATTCAACACATTCATTGAAATTGGAATTTGTCACACCCCACAGGAAGCAGAATTTGAAATAAAGGAAGTAGAATTTAATTCAAAGAAATTGAACTGAGACTTGAATATATGAGTCTCAATCCTTTGACAAATCCTTTGCCAAAATCATCTGCCACCTCTTACTGAAGAATACAGATACCATTTTAAATGTTAGTTTGATTATAACTCAATGATGTCAAACAGTATTTTGTTTGTATTTTTGTCATGAAATGTTCCCTTCCATTCTGGAGTGTTTGATCTAATGCATTCTGAGAAATTGATGTTTTTCTATCATTGTATTTAATAACATGTAAAGTGAATTGTGAATTATACTGAACAAAAATATAAACATAACAGTTCATATAAGGAAATCAGTCAATTGAAATAAATTCATTATGCCCTAATCTATGGATTTCACATGACTGGGAATACAGATATGCATCTGTTGGTCACAGATGCCTTTAAGAAAAGGTAGATGCATGAATCAGATAACCAGTCAGTATCTGGTGTGACCACCATTTGCCTCATGCAGAGTTGATCAGGGTGTTGATTGTGGCCTGTGGAATGTTGTCCCACTCCTCTTCAATGGCTGTGCGAAGTTCCTGGATATTGGCGGGAACTGGAACGCGCTGTCTTACACGTCGATGCAGAGCATCCCAAACATGCTCAATGGGTGACATGTCTGGTGAGTATGCAGGCCATGTAAGAACAAGGACATTTTCAGCTTCCAGGAATTGTGTACAGATCCTTGCGACATTGGGCCGTGCATTATCATGCTGAAACAATTGGTGATGGCGGCGGATGAATAATAATAATAATAATAATAATAATAATATGCCATTTAGCAGACGCTTTTATCCAAAGCGACTTACAGTCATGCGTGCCTACATTTTTTTGTGTACGTGTGGTCCCGGGGATCGAACCCACTACCTTGGCGTTACAAGTGCCGTGCTCTACCAGCTGAGCTACAGAGGACACGACAATGGGCCTCAGGATCGTCACAGTATCTCTGTGCATTCAAATTGTCATCAATAAAATGCAATTGTGTTTGTTGTCCGTAGCTTATGCCTGCCCATACCATAACCCCACCGCCACCATGGGGCACTCTGTTCACAACGTTGTTATCAGCAAACCGCTAGCCCACACAACGCCATACACGTGGTCTGCAGTTGTGAGGCCGGTTGGACATACTGCCAAATTCTCTAAAACGACATTGGAGGCGGCTTATGGTAGAGAAATTAACATTCAATTATCTGGCAACAGCTCTAGTGGACATTCCTGCATTCAGCATGCCAATTGCACACTCCCTCAAAACATGAGACATCTGTGGCATTGTGTTGTGTGACAAAACTCCACATTTTAGAGTGGCCTTTTATTGTCCCCATCGCAAGGTGAACCTGTGTAATGATCATGCTGTTTAACCAGGTAATGGATTATCTTGGCAAAGGGGAAATGCTCACTAACAGGGATGTAAACAAATGTGTGCACAACATTTAAGATCAATAAGCTTTTTGTGTGTATAGAACATTTCTGGGACCTTTTATTTCAGCTCATGAAACATGGGACCAACACTTTACATGCTGCGTTTATATTTCTGTTCAGTGTATAAGGGAGACAACCTACAAAATAATCTTTAAATATCTCCAGACCACTGTAATTATAACATGTTTTAGGAGGATGAGTTTAGCCCAGGGGTCTAGCAGTATAGCACTTCCCAAGCTACCCCCCCTCCCCTCCAAATCAAACATGGATTCCATGTTGTGTTATTGCTTTGCGCACACCTGTTTGTCCTAACTAATCAGCCTCGCAATACAGGCGCCGTGCTGCAACAGACAGGAAGTAGAACGGAGTGTGTGCGCGCAAACATTGACATACATGTTTGATTTTAAAACTTTCTTGTGCACAGGTAACGTGAGGGATGCCGATTTAATAAGAACTGTGTTCCGACTCTGGATATATCTTCAATGTCAGACACGCGCCGCTAAAACAGATTGTCATTTCAGCGTGACTTAACTTGAACGCCCTAAGACTGAATGCCCCAAGACGGAATGTTGAATACATTTACTTACACTTTATTAACTGTATACAGTGGGGAAAAAAAGTATTTAGTCAGCCACCAATTGTGCAAGTTCTCCCACTTAAAAAGATGAGAGGCCTGTAATTTTCTTCATAGGTACATGTCAACTATGACAGACAAATTGAGGAAAAAAAAGTATTTGGTCACCTACAAACAAGCAATATTTCTGGCTCTCACAGACCTGTAACTTCTTCTTTAAGAGGCTCCTCTGTCCTCCACTCGTTACCTGTATTAATGGCACCTGTTTGAACTTGTTGTCAGTATAAAAGACACCTGTCCACAACCTCAAACAGTCACACTCCAAACTCCACTATGGCCAAGACCAAAGAGCTGTCAAAGGACACCAGAAACAAAATTGTAGACCTGCACCAGGCTGGGAAGACTGAATCTGCAATAGGTAAGCAGCTTGGTTTGAAGAAATCAACTGTGGGAGCAATTATTAGGAAATGGAAGACATACAAGACCACTGATAATCTCCCTCGATCTGGGGCTCCACGCAAGATCTCACCCCGTGGGGTCAAAATGATCACAAGAACGGTGAGCAAAAATCCCAGAACCACACGGGGGGACCTAGTGAATGACCTGCAGAGAGCTGGGACCAAAGTAACAAAGCCTACCATCAGTAACACACTACGCCGCCAGGGACTCAAATCCTGCAGTGCAAGACGTGTCCCCCTGCTTAAGCCAGTACATGTCCAGGCCTGTCTGAAGTTTGCTAGAGTGCATGTGGATGATCCAGAAGAGGATTGGGAGAATGTCATATGGTCAGATGAAACCAAAATATAACTTTTTGGTAAAAACTCAACTCGTCGTGTTTGGAGGACAAAGAATGCTGAGTTGCATCCAAAGAACACCATACCTACTGTGAAGCATGGGGGTGAAAACATCATGCTTTGGGGCTGTTTTTCTGCAAAGGGATCAGGACGACTGATCCGTGTAAAGGAAAGAATGAATGGGGCCATGTATCGTGAGATTTTGAGTGAAAACCTCCTTCCATCAGCAAGGGCATTGAAGATGAAACGTGGCTGGGTCTTTCAGCATGACAATGATCCCAAACACACCGCCCGGGCAATGAAGGAGTGGCTTCGTAAGAAGCATTTCAAGGTCCTGGAGTGGCCTAGCCAGTCTCCAGATCTCAACCCCATAGAAAATCTTTGGAGGGAGTTGAAAGTCTCTGTTGCCCAGCGACAGCCCCAAAACATCACTGCTCTAGAGGAGATCTACATGGAGGAATGGGCCAAAATACCAGCAACAGTGTCTGAAAACCTTGTGAAGACTTACAGAAAACGTTTGACCTGTGTCATTGCCAACAAAGGGTATATAACAAAGTATTGAGAAACTTTTGTTATTGACCAAATACTTATTTTCCACCATAATTTGCAAATAAATTCATTAAAAATCCTACAATGTGATTTTCTGGATTTTTTTTTCTCAATTTGTCTGTCATAGTTGACGTGTACCTATGATGAAAATTACAGGCCTCTCTCATATTTTTAAGTGGGAGAACATGCACAATTGGTGGCTGACTAAATACTTTTTTCCCCCACTGTACATTTACATTTTACATTTTAGTCATTTAGCAGACGCTCTTATCCAGAGCGACTTACAGTTAGTGAATATATATATATATATATATATATATATATATATATATATATATATATAAATTTTTTATACTGGCCCCCCGTGGGAATCGAACCCACAACCCTGGAGTTGCAAACGCCATGCTCTATCAACTGAGCTACATCCCTACCGGCCATTCCCTCCCCTACCCTGGACGACGCTGGGCCAATTGTGCGCCGCCCATGAGTCTCCCGGTCGCGGCCGGCTGCGTATACATGACGACGAGCTTGTAGGGCTAGAACATGTCAAACATAGTATTGGTAACCATGCATGATGTCAACATGAATAATGATGTATGGAATAAATTATCTATTTGAATTTCATTGAATTCTACAGACAACTGAAAGGGGAATTTGACCCAAATCTAGATTTTGCATGAACTATCCCTTTAATTCAAATTCAATTCTGCTTCCTGTGGTGTGTGGCCAATTCAATTCAAATCCCCAAACTAAATTCAGAATTGACCCCAACTGTGATCAATAAATACAGAACTAATAGGTACATACCTTACGATGTAGGTAACATACCGGTGTTCTTCTGAGCTTACTCACAATGTCCAGCACCCTCCGTTTAAGAGGTATGCGTGACGACTTGTCCGCGACATTGTTATATGTTTTGATTATTGTATTGTTCACCTTGGTCTGTTTAGACATGCCAGTCGCTGTTGCGGACGCAATCTGTGATTTAGGCATGTCCTTAGCGCTGTGTTTAAGCTCTCGCATAGCAAGAATAGCTTTCTTGCGAGCTATCTGTTCCTCTATGACCTCCAGCTCCTTCTTCTTACGAGCGAGCTCCATGTCCTCCACACTGGGCTCCACAGGATCTCCATCATCTGTGTCTGGGGAGAAGGGAGCACCGCTACCCCTCAATGAGCCTTTGCTGCACTCTCTGGATGATGGATCCAGGATGTAGCTCGTATCAGAGGCACCATACTCCTCCCAACCCCCACTAGCTTCTCCATACTGCAACCGCCGACTGTACCTCTCTGGATCCATTGGGTATGTTGTCTTCCAGCGTGCCTGAACTGGGAAGACTCTTCAGGATCACTGCAGCACAAAATAAAAATGTAAGAAGACAGTGGTGAGGTTAATGTAGGCTAGATGTTGTGCTAGGTTGCCTGGCTGCCCAAACTCCTTGCTCCTGCCAAACGCTATGCCCAAGGACGTTAATTTATTTATCTGCAACGAGTCTGGATCGGTTGTCACTAGTTACCACAGCCACAAAGTCAAAATTGGCTATATCGTAAAAATTCAAGAAAACTAAAACAAGCTGTTTGGTCTTAATTTAAGGTTAGGCATGAGGTTAGCAGTGTGGTTAGGTTTAAAGATTTAAATACATTTTTGAAATAAGCAGGGTTTCTTTTGTGGCTGTGGTCACTAGTGACGACCGTCTGGATCTATGTACCTCCCCGACGATTTCTAGAATGCAAACACATTCTAACCGTTCTGATTGGTCCCAGAAACCGATCGGTTGGGCCAGAACACATTTGAAAATGCGTTATTGGCTTTGATACTCTGATTGGTTAGAAATGATATAATCGCTGACTACGGTTTTGTATAACACCCCTCATTTTGACATCACCACAAACGACGTCAATAATGTCAGTCACTAGCTAGGTTGCCATCCAATTTGAGACAGATTTATGCAAATATTCTAGAATCCGCATAAAGAAAATATGCGCATTTTCCCACCAGTGGTGTGTTTCCACCAAATGGACTTGTTGAGGACAAAAATCAGTGCGTGATGATATAGTGGACACAAAATGTACTTTTTCACTTAGAATTCAGTACATGAAAAGTTATCGCATTTTCAACTCTACCGATAGTTTTGGCACAAAAACTGTTGAGTAAAATAGCAAATGTGCCCACTCTGGTTTTGGCACATGCACTCTAGCCAACAGCTCACAGATACAGCAGGTAGGCTGTGCTGGTAGGCTAGTCTACATGATGACATTATTATGGATAAGAATATTTTTATTTGTCAGAGTGACCATCGAGTTCTTGGTCACCTCCCTGACCAAGGCCCTTCTCCCCCGATTGCTCAGTTTGGCCGGGTGGCCAGCTCTAGGAAGAGTCTTCGACCTCAGGCTTGGTTTTGTTCCAAACTGTGGACTTTCCAGGTTGTCCTTTCCAATTAAGAATTTGCCAATGGACTCAATCGGTCATTCATGTTGATCAATGGAAACAGGATCACTGTTGATTCGAGTCTCATAGCAAGGGTTGAATACTATTAAATGTTTTGGGGGTGGGGGGGGGGGGGGGGTCATTTGGTAGATGATGAGGAATTTTATAATCATTTAGAATAGGCTGTAACATAACAAAATGTGGAAAAGGTCAAGGGTCTGAATACTTTACGAAGGCACTGTATATGGTTTAAGGGCTGTTATAAAGCACAACGCAATGGGAGTGCCGGGATACGCCTTAGAAAGGTATATGGCCATATACACAAACCCAAAAGTGCCGTGTGATATTATAACTGGTTACCAAGTAATTAGAGAGCAAAATAAATGTTGTCTACCGTGGTATACGTTTAAGGGATAATTGCAGCGTTCTGTACATTACCTTGGAAATAATGGACAATGCAGCGGGACGAGGTGGAGCCGAGTCTCTTTGCGGAGTTCCTTTTTCCAAGGTAATGTACAGAACGGAGGCGTTTATCCTGCTTATACCACAGCTGCCAATGAAAACAATATGAAAGCACACATTTACCGGTACAAATAGTGACTGTGTAGCCGTAGCTAGTTGGCTAGCTAGCAGCAAGCAAGGGATAAGAACGTTGCCACAGAGCATGGCAACAGAACATGAGTGGGTTGGACGCTCTGTAAATATCAAACTAATCGAAATGAACGACGGGGTCGCGTCTTTAGCAAACCAAAAGATTAGAAAGTATGAATTCGCTTATAAAAATGAAAATATGTCAGAAGATAAGTATTACAGTAATTATTGGGACAGTGAAGCATTTTTTCTTCTTTTGGCTCTATACTCCAAAAGTTTGGATTTTAAATCAAACAATGACTATGAAGTTAAAGTGCAGACTGTCAGCATTCATTTGAGGTTATTTTTTATCCATATCGGGTGAACTGTTTAGAAATGACAACCCTTTTTGTACATAGTCCCCCCATTTTAGGGGACCAAAAGACTTCTTCATTCACTTATGTGTATTAAAGTAGTAAAAAGTGAAGTATTTGGTCCCCACATTCATAGCACGCAATGACTACATCAAGCTTGTGACTCTACACATTTGTTGGATGCATTTGCTGTTTGTTTCAGATTATTTTGTGCCCAATAGAAATGAATTGGTAAATAATGTATCGTGTCGATATTGTATTCTATTATTATTTACAATAAGTGACCACAAAATGACCCCAAAAGGGTCGTATTAGATTGTGTAGAAATGCAGGAAATGAGTTTTAGATGTCCCAAAAAATTCTGAGGGAGGACCCCCCGCCAGGTTATATCCCCCCTCACTTCTAAAAGCAAAGTTGCGCCCCTGGCGATTAGAATACGAAGATCGCGTTGGGAAGACGGGTCTAGACGCACAAAATTCGCTTTGTGGTTTGATTGTGTTCAGATCTGGCTGACCACTTCAGGACGTGGTCAGGGCTGCATTGCGGACCTCAGTCTGGACGCAATCAGGTTACCGAAAGCGCATACAGTGGGCGACGTCATCAGCACTCCTACCACAGTCTCCATAAAATTTGTGTTTTGGGGCCGACGGGCACTTTTTCATTATAACGTTGGAGGAAATACGTTCCTAGCATGTGAGGAACGTGATTACTTGCCACATAAATGCTACACAGCTATTTTTTGTTTGGCTAGAGTTATGCTAACTTGTTTGCAATCCCTTTAGCTAGCTTCAGTAATTAGTTGTTGTGTTATCATGTTGCCTATTCCACCGTTTGTAGAATGCATACTTGCATTTGAATATAGCGTAGGAAAAGGGAATCCGGACACTTAAATGTAGGTGTAGATGCATGACGCGTTCAGAATTCCATGATCATAACTATGATCAGAATACCAAAGCTGCATGAATCTGATGCAGAACCTCTGCTACTAAGCTAGGTAGCTAACGTTTGCTTTTAGCTATGTCATTTTCAGAACAGGCTGTGAGCGTGACAGAAGCATATAGCCCTTTTCTTTTTTTTTTATCATAACCAAACACATTACCTTATTCTTTAAAATAATGTGCAAGCAGTGACTATAAAACGATTGTTTACCTCCCGTCTGCAACCTCACCCGCGCTCTTGTCTTAGGCCTGAAAGATGGTACCATCTCATTATGTTCGCTATGTCATTTTGGATTTTGAGGCGTCAAGCAAGTTCCACGCACGCTACCAAAGACTGACAGAGTGCTTGACTTGAAATACAATTGCATAAAAATATATACATTAGCTAGTACAAAAGCAACTATCTAGCTAGCCAAAGACAAAAAGTATTGTATTTTTCTGCTGTACCTGCTTCTGTAGTATAATTTTTTCACCTTCTTATGATTGAAATTCCAATACTGCCCCAACAGGATGGAGTGTGAAGCATAGTGACGAGCATCAGCATGACTTCCATATTGAAGTTACTTTTTATTGAGAAAAAGAAAGAAATAAAATAACTATTTATTTGTATATATACACAGTGAAAGAGGATCCACAGAAATGGGTTAGGAGTTTTTCCTGACCAAATGACCAGCCTAGGAAAACCTTCAGGCCCTAATTAAAGCCTATATAGGCAATCATTTTTGCTAGTCAGATCAAGTCGTCAAGAAAAGCCCCTGGCCGTACCCATGCTAGTACAGATAAATCCAATCTGAACATACACTGAAAAAAAATCTTCAATATGTAGTCTTAAAGGATGATAACAAATCCTTTGCTAGTGTCATTACAAATCTATAAATGGTTGCTAGCTAAGAATGTAAGCCAACTGATGTCCATAGGGTCTGGATGGGTCAGCAGAAGGTTCTAGTCTAGTGGGAGATGAGCTCATGATGCCCAGTGAAGATCTGCAGAAAAGAGAAAGCGTTCAGACCAATGACTCGCTATGATAGAAAAACAATCATTCTTGATTTGATAAGAGAATCATTGCATAACTGACCCTAATAAAATATTCCAGGCTCATTAACTTAACTCCATTTTCCAAAATTCACCAAAGTGGAGTGAATACGCATTCTGAAATAGATGGAGTATTTATACTGCTTTTACTTACAACAAACTGCCTTTGAGTTTATGTTGGTGTTTGTTGTGTCGATTTCCGCTTCATCTTCAGGTTGAACTCTTCAAGCTGAGAAAGGGTATACACTCGCATGTCAATACAAATATGACTGAATGGTGTATAATATCATTAGTAAAAAGACAAGCAATAATGACAAAGTGAGAACAGCATAAAAGTAAGCAAAGGTCTTTCATACCAAAGATAATACTGTACTTCCAGAAGTAATTACACAAACCTTTTTCTTTAGTTTCCCCTTAATCGCTTCTTCTGGCATTGGTTTTTTGTCCCCTTCAACATCGCTCTCTGCTTCCGCTTCAGAGAGGGCCCTGGGATACTTTGCAGCCACCTGAGCGGCCACCTTCGCTGCAGCTCTTGCAATCAGTCCATCTCTCTTCTCTTGGAGATCTCGATATATTCTCCTCTTTCTCAGAACCTCTTTCCTGTATTTCTTACACCTTTCTCCAAACGCCTGGCTGTTTCTCTTGACTCTTGACTTGGTGAGCCGTCTTACGCGGCGGTTGCCGCCCTTGGGCACCACCGTCTTAACGTACTGCAGACAGCGGGGGTGTGACGGCTCCTTCAGTTGTTGGGCCTTGCTCAAGGAGATTGGGTCTGGGGTCAACACTTTCAGTGCTGGCGTGAGTACAGCCGAGTTTGTGAACTTGAGTTCGCTATCGGGCTGGGTAGATGTGACCTGTGGGTTGCTAGCAGGCTGGATGTATGTAAGCTGGCGGGTGCTAGCGGGCTTGGTAGATGTGACCTGGGGGTTGCTAGCGGGCTGGATGTATGTAAGCTGGCGGGTCCCACCAGGCTTGGTAGATGTGACCTGGGGGTTGCTAGCTGGCTGGATGTATGTAAGCTGGCGGGTGCTAGCGGGCTTGCTTTTTGGGAGTTGGAGGTTCATGAGCTGGAGCAGGTTGCCAGTGGACTTGGTGTTTAGCTGCTGGAGGGTGCCAGTGGGCTGGTTGTTTGTGAGCGGGATATATGTTAACTGGTGGTTTCTGGCAGGCTGGGTAGATGAGCGCTGGAGGTTGCTAGTAGGCTGGGTGTATGTGTATGTCTGGCTTAAGGCTGCTGTGCTATTAGAGTAATGCGGTGGGGCGCTGGGGTAAGGTAGATACCCAGGGGGGGGGTATGGGAAGGGAGGCATGGTACCAGGGGGCATGTTACCAGGGGGCATGGTACCAGGGGGCATGGTACCAGGGGGAGGGGGCATAATACCAGGGGGTATGGTACCAGGGGGCATAATACCAGGGGGAGGGGGCATGATACCAGGGGGAGGGGGCATGATACCAGGGGGCATAAGGTTTGGGGGCATGGTACCAGGGGGCATAATACCAGGGGGCATGCGGCTAGGGGGCATAATACCAGGGGGCATAATACCAGGGTGCATGGTACCAGGGGGCATAATGCCAGGGGGATAACCCCAACCTGGAGGGAAGGCATTGGCGTAGGGGCTGCTGGTATACAGAGAGAACTGGGTGGTGGAGAAGGTTGCCATCATAGATGCATTAGGAGGGTGGGAAAAAGGATACATAGGGTCCTTGGAGTATGTGTTGAGCTCAACAGAGCTTTCCCTGGACTTGTCCCTATACCTATCCCTGTCGCTTTCTTCGTCCCAGTCGCCATCTCTGTGCCAGTCCCTGGTACTACAGCGCCTGTCTCTGTCCCTAGCACTAGAGAGCCTGTCCCTGTTACTAGAGCGCCTGTCCCTGTCTCTGGTACTAGAGCGCCTGTCCCTGTCTCTGGTACTAGAGCGCCTGTCCCTGTTACTAGAGCGCCTGTCCCTGTCTCTGTCCCTGGTACTAGAGCGCCTGTCTCTGTCCCTGGTACTAGAGCGCCTGTCCCTGGTACTAGAGCGCCTGTCCCTGTCTCTGGTACTAGAGCGCCTGTCCCTGTCCCTGGTACTAGAGCGCCTGTCTCTGTCCCTGGTACTAGAGCGCCTGTCCCTGTCCCCGTCTCTGTCCCTGGTACTAGAGCGCCTGTCCCTGGTACCAGAGTGCCTGTCTCTCTCGCTGTCCCTGGTACTAGAGCGCCTGTCCCTGTCGCTGTCTCTGGCACCTGAGTGCCTGTCCTTGTCTCTGGTACCAGAGCGCTTGTCCCTGGTACCAGAGTGCCTGTCTCTGGTACTTGAGCGCCTGTCCCTCTCTCTCTCAGATTTGTCCCCGTCTCTCTCTCGGTCTCTCTCAGAACTGGCCCAGTCTCTGTCCCGGTCTCTGTTTCTCTTAGATTCGTCCCTCTCTGTGTCCTCGTCTCGTTCTCTGTCCCAGTCTCTAGTACTAGAGTGCCTATTCCTGTCTCCCTCCCTGTCTCTCATATATTTGTCTCGGTCTCTATCAGAGTTGTCTCTGTCTCCCTCTCTATCCCAGTCTCTGGTACTAAAATGGCTGTAATCAAAGGTCAGATTTGAGTGCTGGTGGCGAAGGGGGAAGGGGCTGGATCTGTCTGACGTCAAGGGACTCCTCTCCTGGTCTCTCTTCATCCCGTACAGCCTCTCCTTGGTCCGGTCTGACAGTCGGCCCAACTCCTCCACCCCCAGGTCTAGCCCGATGGACTCCAGCAGGCTCTGGAGCTGGCCGTGTGGGAGACCCGGCCTCCTTTCTCCACGAATGTGTGAGTGACTGTGGTCCTGTGGCAGAGCTCTACTGTGGGGACCCAAGCAATCCTGAGAGCTCTGTGCTGGGGCCCCCTTATTCTCACTCCTGTAGGTAGTCTTTGGATGGCCCTCCTGCATAGGGGGTAATTCATTCACGTTGTTGACAATCTTTGAGAACTTGTTGATGTCCACCCCTTTGTTGAGGACATTGAGGAAGCGCTGGAAGCCCGTGGCTGCGGTGTCCTGCTCCTGTGTCCTGAATGAGTAAATGGTGGATTCGTGTAGTTTATCATCAGGAACCTAACAGGAGACATGAGAGAATATCAATGGTTAACCATCCACTGAGACAGCTGCTTGCTTTATACCTTAAAAATGGATGAAGGTTGATACGATTCATACCAGTTATATGGTCAAGTGCTGAAAAGAAGGACATAGGCAAAGTACAGTTGGCCCAGAACAGAGTAGCATGTCTGGCCCTTAAATGTACAAGGAGGGCTAACATCAACAACATGTATGTCAGTCTCTCCTGGCTCAAAGTAGTCTGTCTATTTTCTTTAATTTAAGCAATCATTTTGACAGTATCCATCAAAAAAGTATTTCATATTAACATTTTTAATTTCCATAGGTATGTACTAGGAAGCAAAAGTGTTTGTTTGTTGGGCTTCAGGAATGTGAATGAAAAAGTGCCTCAGGCCTTGTGTGTGTGTGTGTGTGTGTGTGTGTGTGTGTATATATATATATATACACACACACACTACCGTTCAAAAGTTTGGGGTCACTTAGAAATGTCTTTATTTTCTAAAGAAAAGCAATTTTTTTAGTCCATTAAAATAACATCAAATTGATCAGAAATACAGTGTAGACATTGTTAATGTTGTAAATGGCTATTGTAGCTGGACACGGCTGATTTTTAATGGAATATCTACATAGGCGTACAGAGGCCCATTATCAGCAACCATCAGTCCTGTGTTCCAATGGCACGTTGTGTTTGCTAATCCAAGTTTATCATTTTAAAAGGCTAATTGATCATTAGAAAACCCTTTTGCAATTATGTTAACACAGCTGAAAACAGTTGTACTGATTAAAGAAGCAATAAAACTGGCCTTCTTGAGACTAGTTGAGTATCTGGAGCATCAGCAATTGTCTCAAAACACCAGTCTCAACGTCAACAGTGAAGAGGCGACTCCGGGATGCTGACCTTCTAGGCAGAGTTGCAAAGAAAAAGCCATATCTCAGACTGGCCAATAAAAATAAAATATTTTAGATGGGCAGTCTGAGATATGGCTTTTTCTTTGCAACTCTGCCTAGAAGGTCAGCATCCCGGAGTCGCCTCTTCACTGTTGACGTTGAGACTGGTGTTTTGAGACAATTGCTGATGCTCCAGATATGTTTTGCGGGTACTATTTAATGAAGCTGCCAGTTGAGGACCTGTAAGGCATATGTTTCTCAAACTAGACACTAATGTATTTGTCCTCTTGCTCAGTTGTGCACCGGGGCCTCCCACTCCTCGTTCTATTCTAGTTAGAGCCAGTTTGCGCTGTTCTGTGAAGGGAGTAGTACACAGAGTTGTACGAGATCTTCAGTTTCTTGGCAATTTCTCGCATGGAATAGCCTTCATCTTGTCCCTGACATCCTTGGAGAGCTCTTTGGTCTTGGCCATGGTGGAGAGTTTGGAATCTGATTGATTGATTACTTCTGTGGACAGGTGTCTTTTATACAGGTAACAAGCTGAGATTAGGAGCACTCCCTTTAAGAGTGTGCTCCTAATCTCAGCTCGTTACCTGAAATAAAGACACCTGGGAGCCAGTAATCTTTCTGATTGAGAGGGGGTCAAATACTTATTTCCCTCATTAAAATGCAAATCAATTTATAACATTTTTGACATGCTTTTTTCTGGATTTTTTTGTTTGTTATTCTGTCTCTCACTGTTCAAATAAACCTACCATTAAAAGTATAGACTGATCATGTCTTTGTCAGTGTGCAAATGTACAAAAGCAGCAGGGGATCAAATACTTTCCCCCCTCACTGTAGGCCTATAATGCACCATGTCTCAGGAAAGACTGTCTGGGTTGGCAATACTCCGTATAGAAAACAGTCGGGCCCGCAACCTGGACCTACAGCCCATGGTGAAAAGATTTGCACACAAAAAAAGGAGGACTTCAGGAGACCAGGGGACTCTCTCAAGTTGGATTCGATTTGATTTAAATTTACCTTGACTATTACAGCCCATTTGTGTAGGCTATTAGCCAGACAACCCGCTGAGTTCAACAATAAATAGTGGCTGAATTTATCCTCAAGCCAACTACTTTTTTCCTAATTGTTAGGCTATTTGATGTTTAATTGTTATAAAAAGCAGCTAAATAGAAGCTAAATACGGTATATAGCTATAGATAGTACACTGAATAATGAAACAATCCCTAGTAAGCTAGTGTTTTGAGGGTGGACTGACTATATTATAGACTGGTTTTACGCACAACAACGTTCTATCCAAGCTGGGAGAGAGCACGAGGACGGCTCATGTCATGCAGGTTCAGGTAGCCTATACAGGACAGTTGTATATTATAAAAAATCCAATGGTAGCTGATTTAGTATGCTGTTGCTTAAAAACATTATTTTACAATTGGCAATGTTAGAATTCCTTACTTTAATTACTGAACAAGTAATTACATTATTGCCACCAGCCAGCTGTCTAAAAAATGGCAGCATTACGACACCATGTAAAGCTTAGTGAAATGTTAGGCTTAAAATGAGAAAATGACTACCAAATACCAATAAACATTTATTCATTAGCCAAAGCAAAGCTATACATGCCCTTGCACCACAGAAAGCCTATCATCGATTCATTTGGCATGCAGCCGCATAGACAGGTCACAATTTCAGCACCATGGACAGCCATCAGTTTATTTACATTTACATTTACATTTTAGTCATTTAGCAGACGCTCTTATCCAGAGCGACTTACAGTTAGTGAATACATATATATTTTTTATACTGGCCCCCCGTGGGAATCGAACCCACAACCCTGGCGTTGCAAACGCCATGCTCTATCAACTGAGCTACATCCCTGCCGGCCATTCCCTCCCCTACCCGACGCTGGGCCAATTTGTGCGCCGCCCATGAGTCTCCCGGTCACGACCGGCTGCGACAGAGCCTGGATTCGAACCAGGATCTCTAGTGGCACAGTTAGCACTGCGATGCAGCGCCTTAGACCACTGCGCCACTCGGGATGATTTAGGGAGGGTGACGGTGGGGGTCCAGAGAAACTGTGTTACGCCAGTGGTATTGAGGTATTGAAAGTACCAAACTATCTGTTCAATAAGTTAATAAACAGCTCAAACACCCATACATACCCCACAAGACATGCTACCAGGGGTCTCTTCACAGTCCCCAGGTCCAGAACAGAGGCTAGGAAACGCACAGTACTATATAGAGCCATGACTACATGGAACTCTCTCCCAAACTGTAATGTAGTAGTGGCGCAAAGTAAATGTGTATGTACAGTTGTGATGTAGTGGTGGGAATGTGGATTTGTATGATGCACAATGCTTTGTATGATGCAATGTTTTATTTCAGTGTTCCCCAGGAAGAGTAGCTGCTGCCTTGACAACAGCTAATGGGGCTAAACTGGGGTGTGTAGTAGTAAATAGTAACTGAGAGAGTTAGCTGTGCCTGAGTTTTGCATGTCGAAAATACAGGGAAGAAACTCAATCATACAATCAGTTCTCTGTTCTGTATTTTGACTGCCAGCGCATGGAAGAGAAGAATCCACTTGGCAAACCACACTATTTTCCTAACTTTAAAAATGTATAATATATGTATCTTCAAAATAAAACGTGAAGTTTGGTAATTGAGAGAATTGGTGAGGAATGCTTGGATGTGGATGTGCATGCATGTGGTAGGTCAGACAGTTTAGTTGGTTGTCATACCCGTTACATTGAATTAAACTTGTAAAAACATTATATAAAAAATCAAGTCCACATATTTTAGCAGTAGGTCAGTTTCCTAGTAACTAGCTAATTTACGTCGTCAGATTAGCTAACGTCATTTTCAGAGCAGGCTGGCTATGTAAACATAAGTATGCCAGTCAGGAAGGTATCGGCAAATAAATGAATCACCAAATGTAAATAGTCACATTGCCAATACCTATTGAAATGCATGTGCAAGAATTGACTAAAACGATTATTTACCTTCTCTCCTTTCCTCCTGGTAGCATCTCGCAGGTCTTCATCATCATATGTTGTGTGTCGTCTCATTCTGGATTTTGAGGGTTCAAATATTTACCCGGCCTACCACTGAGCTCGTTGACTTGAAAACCAAATTGTAGTTTTATAGTATAGAAATAAAAATGTTTCGAAACTGTGGTTTCACAGCTAGTTAGCTTTCCCAGTCATACTTCTTCAGCGGGGTCGGGAGAAAGCGGATGTTTCCGGTTTTCACGGATACAGTATTTTCAACCTAACTTCCGTTTCCACTGAAAAACGGATGTGGTCAGAGAGGAAGAGGCATGGCGTGAGGTTTTACTCCGCCCAAAATCTGGCCAAGAAAATAAGACCAGGAAGTGAGTAATTTTTGTATGGAGGTCAATGAGAGCGTGTCGAATTTGGTCAACAAAAAATGTAATTGCTAATTTTCTACGTCAGGCTTATTTGATGAAATAGAAGTTTCGTAATGGCTAGGTTGATACGAATGCACTGATATAAGTGGATGCACGTGGCAAAAAAACTACTTTATGTCGGAGTTGTGCCATAGAGATAGATAGAGGACACATCATGGATATAACTTGTTTTAGCATGGACATTGAAATTGAGGGCTTCCACTATTTTAAAGTAGTCACCTGGGTGGGCAGTCCTATGAGTTGGGAGCAATCAGACAATGAAAAAGAAAATGTACATCTTTGCATCGGTGCAATAAGAGCACCGATACAAAGATCTCATCCGATCTCTATGGATGTTGTTCAAATGCGTATCTGCCCTCTCATTGGCTGAATGGTCCCACCTGATCTCCCGAGTGGCGCAGTGGTCTAAGGCACTACACCCCAGTGCTAGCTGTGCCACTAGAGATCCTGGTCCGAATCCAGGCTCTGTCGTAGCCGGCCGCGACCGGGAGACCCATGGGGCGGCGCACAATTGGCCCAGCGTCATCCAGGGTAGGGGAGGGAATGGCCGGCAGGGATGTAGCTCAGTTGGTAGAGCATGGCGTTTGCAACGCCAGGGTTGTGGGTTCGATTCCCACGGGGGGCCAGTATGCAAAAATAAAATAATGTATGCACTCACTAACTCTAGATAAGAGCGTCTGCTAAATGACTAAAAATGTAAATGTAAAAATCTCGCCTCCTCCAGCCTGCCTTCAATCTTTGAGGACATGTATTTCCATTGTTAGAGCGGTCACTCAAAGATCTTGTCAATATACTAGCCAATCTTTTGGTTAGGTTACTTCTGAAGTTGTTAGCTAGCATGTTTTATAGGATTGGAAGTGCAACACTGCCACCAACAGGACGGAGTAAGAATTTCCCAAACTTTAACAAAAGTGTACAATATTTGTTGAATTCTTTACTTCTTTACTTAACTGTACTAAATATTACGTCAGTACACACTGAATTACTGAATTGAATACTGCAGTGTTTGTTTTAAACTACAGTGTTAATACAGGACAGACACATCAGCAGACAGAGCTAATATTTTATTAGTTAATTCCCATGGGGGCAGTCAAGTCAACTAACCCCCATTCACTTGCAACAATGAATAGCACGTTTTACAAATGGCATACTTACAGTAGGTGTTTTAATGTCAAACAGATCTACACATAGTCACATACATACACTCCTGTAGTGGTCCATCACATACTCACTAATGTGGTGCGAGCATTGCTCCCTGGGGTGGTACAGATGTTAATGATGCTCCAATCCCTTGGAACGTTAAGACATTTATATTCTGTGTTAATTATGGATGGAATGGCATCAGGGGGTTTGTATGCGTGAGACGGGAGGGAGCCAATCTAACAGGAGCACAGGATGTTACAGTCCCAGGGCCATCTCCTGCCGATCTGCAAGCACTATCGATCTCCACATGAGGGCGCTGTAACAGAGAGCAATTGGAGGCAACATTGGAGTAATGAGAAGGTTACTGTACTTCTGAAACACATAGAGACACACACACACACACACAGTTCTTACCTCCTCACTGGTAGAACTTCAGCTCCGTGTCCACACAGTCAAAGAACAGGTCCCCCAGCTCCTCATCTGCTGGTGTTTCTCCACTTAGCAGGGCTGCTATGTCCGTCAGACACTGGCCCTCCAACATCCTCAACGTCTCCGTTAGAGCATTCCCTGCATCCTGAGGGACAGAAACAAACACATGCAAAAATACAGTTCGTAGTCGGTGATGTACATAATATAATATCCATCAGTCCATACCCACACTCATCAATGTAAAAAAGAGGATCTGCTGCAAATACTGTATGAAATTGTAGCCTATTACAGTAGGGCCATGGCATATTCTCCCCATATTTGATTCTAACCCCTCCTACACGTACCGGGTTGGTCTCCATAGTCTGCAGGGCCCCCTCATGGGCCTTGTACAGGTCATGCCTGCGGTCCACTTGGCTCTGGAAGCGCGGCTGCTTTCTGACCGGGTCGTCTGGGCCGTACTGTGGGGAGATCACCCTCGACACTGGGGTCACAGACTCAGAGAAGATAAAAGGCTTGAAAACAGACCTGGCAGGGTGGAGGACAGCCCAGAAGGAGGAGGGGAGGGGTAAGGACCAAATGAAACACACAGACACAGAGAAACTCCAATCAAGACGCAGTTTTGCCAAAGGAGGAAATGATGAAGATGAAGAAGAGCGATACAGAGATAAAAGGCAAAGAGGTTATCTGAGTCTGAATCTTAAGAAGCACTTCCAGATAGCCTGAGGGGTTCCTGGGACTGGTTCCAAACCAATCCCTTGCCACTTCTCCTACACCCTTGTTGAGTCCCTCTTGCAAATCTGGAAGAACTGGAAAGGTATCAGCAAAATAGTAACATTACAACATAGCTCTCTGGTAAACACACTTATCCAGCCCATTCAGATTAAACACAAGGAGCAGACAACAATGGGGTTAGGGTCAGAGTGATTAGTTTGGGACCAGGCCGGTGAGGTGACGCACCTGGAGGGGTCGGGGGTGGCAGTGAGGAAGTGGATGCAGGGCAGGCTGGGGTCGCGGGGCAGGATGGACACCATGCTGCCAGTGGTGCGGAACCCCCCAGAGTCCATGCAGATCCCACTGGGCTTGTCCCTCAGGATGGACATCATCACCTTGGCCGTCACAGAACCTGGGGAACCCAGAAAATGTATTGTCTAAGTAGGCTATTAGTCGTATATTTTTATGGGAAAGGAAATGACAGGAGACAGGAAATGGCATAGCTAGATAGCTAGTTACATTCAACTTACTTTCTATGGTAAGAGGGGATACCAGGCCTTTATTACATGTACGTAAAAATAGCTGTATAAGCAATACGCCAACCTAACCAACCATGTATAGTGTTGTTAATAGAGCCTGCTTTAACATCATTTTGGGAGTTTTTACAGTTATTAGGAGTTGAATGTGTTGAATTAGATTAGAATAGAATAGAAAGAATAGTCTCCCTCACCATCATGCTGTTGGAGGAGCTGTGTGCCCCCACTGTAGCGCTTCTTGGCCAGTTCCATCCTGGCGGGGGGGTTTTCAGACTTGAACACCTCGTTGAAGCAGAACTCTCCCTCGCCGCTCCACCAACCCTGGGCCTGGGCCACACTCCGCAGCTCTGGGTGCTCCGCCGAGATATCCGTCCCAATCGTCAGCGCATTAGAGATGTTCTTCACCCCCTCTGTGGGAAGCAAAGACAGGTGGGGGGGGGGGGTGCATAGTTGTATGCTGCTGGTAGAAGTTGCTCAGATACGCACCGTTCTAGGATCAGCTTACCATCCCCCAATCCTAACCTTAACCATAAGGGTAAAACCACAAAACGAATCTCCCGTGAGCAGATTTTGCGTGTAGACCGAGAAGAATCTGCAGAGACTGAATGGGATGTGTGAGATAAGGAGCAGCATTTGTTTCCGGTTTTGGGGTTTTCGTCACTGGTTATTTGCACGTATCAGGATTGGGCGAAGGCAGTGCTTAAACTACTTTGCCTCGAGTGGTTCGCACGTGTGCCCACACGGATCGGAAGGAGAGAGGGGGGGGGGGGGGGGGCTTTGGCTGAGAGATTTCTTTATGCGAGGGTGAAGACTTCAATTTCTAACACCTACTGTATGAACAAAGAAATGAATCACTCAGCTGACCAAGTTATGCAAGATTTGACTTCTTAACAGAGATCACCCCAAAACCAACCTCTGTTTCAAAACAGATTACTGTCCACACTACAGCTCCAGTGGTGTTACAGCAATTTCCTCACCATGTAACTTCCTGTGCCACCCTCAGTTTCCCCCCACAAAGTTCATTCACGCTACAGCTCCCACGGTGTTAGAACAGTTTCCTCACCTGTGACTTTCTGTGCCACCCAGAGCTTGCCGGCGGTCTCCAGGACCCAGGCCTCATTGCGGTCCACCAGGAGGAAGGAGTTGTGGTAGCTGAAGGGCGCCGGGTCCTCCCTGCATGGCCCCCCCTGGCCGTGCTGCTCCAGCAGACCAGTGATCACACTCACCGCCCCCCAGGCACTGTCCGCACGCTCCAACCCCAAGCTGTCAATAGAGTAGTGTAGAGTAGAGTAGAATACCGGTAGAATAGAAGTATAGCGGTAGAACAGAATAGATTATGAGTAGAATAGAATCAAATAGAAATTATATTATTCCCCAGACACCACACATACACACACCTGAGAGGCTGGTAGCAGCACAGGGTCAGCCACAGAGCTGCAACCCCTGGAGTAGGTTAGAGTCATGCTGCTGATATACCACTGCAGTCAGTGGTACAACAGGAGCAACCTGCGGCTGCCTTTGCCAACTGCTAACTGTTACATTGATTTGTTCAGCGTTACACTACAAAATCCATTAAACTGCGTATGCAGAGATGAATAAATAAGGATTTTGATTCAACCCTGTTTATGAAATCTTATGTTATGCTTATGACAATGTAAAGACAGCTTTATGACATAAGTGAAAACACACTTGGGCCGGATTCAATCAAAACTCCCATAGCAATGTTTCGGCAGTAGGCCTATCTTTGTTTACACAACTAGTCCCTACACACACATGTAAGTATTAACCTGTGATGAAGGAAGTCTACCTAGTACATTTACAGTAGCCTATCTTCTACTGCAAAGCTCTATATTGCTTTTCTGACTACAGGCTGAAATCCTAACTGGAGATGTGCAAGTATATCTACATTTCAACAAATGTACCAGTTACATCAATGCATTGATTATTCACACCAAACTTTGAGTGATGTGATTCTGAAGTTAGGATTCACTTGGCCCCCAAAACAACACTACTGTTTGGAATGCTGACTTAGGGTTAGCAGTGCTTACCGGACCAGGTCCATTCCTAGCAGGGCTTCCCCTGGATCGATGGCTTCACGGGTCCACACAGCCTCGTTCCCGATGCAGACCCCCTTGTCGTTGGCCCCCATCTCGGCCCCCCACAGCCAGGAAGGCCGGCTGAGGACCACAGCATGGGTGTGTTCTGCTTGGGGGATCTGAATGTACGTGCACTGTAGGACGAGAGATGGAGACTCACATTGTTGTTCAATTCTCTTTTTATTTGATTGTAACATAAAATCTACTGGCAAACCATACCAACACGTACTCAGCCAATACCTTAAGCCTGTCATATAAACCGTTGATAACATGAAGGCGTAAAAATACGTATAAATGATAGTCTATCATTCAAACTTTAAACTTTGTGAATAGTAAATTAGAAAATGTTGATTGTGTATACAAAGGACGGGTATTTTAGAGCTTTGATGACCCTTCTCCGTTATCTTGCCCAGACTGACTGCTCACCAGTGAAAACAACTCTAATCCAATTAGTGATGTTGGTCACAGAGCAAAACACCTGTTGTGACCATTTTTAACATAAAGGCCTACACTCTGACTACCGGCCTACATACAATACTCAGAGGGCAGATGGATTTTAGTTCTTTAACCATGATTCATCCAGGTTTCATCTCATTGAGATCAAATCTCTTTTTAAAGAGAGCCCCGATCCAAGATGGCAGCATGGTTGTGGTTTGCAGCAGGGTCAATCTATGGGGTGAAGTGAAGCTAGGCCTAGCTTACCTCCAGCATGGTCCCAGATGGGTGACTGGTTGCTGGGTAGTAAAGAACCTCCTGGACCTCATCTCTAGGACGGTCCGAGTTCTTCCCAAAGATCACGTGATCATCTTGCGAGCCGGGGGGCAGGGATACAAAGCAGTCACATGAGAGGGGCGGCTCAGGCTCTGCCATCCTGCATGAACAAGGGGACAAACAAACATCATAACACATTTATTACCAGAAAATAAACTGGTATCATATCGGAGGCCAGGAGTTTTTCCTGGTCAGGCCAAATGATCGGGAAAAACTCCTGGCCTTAGTCATACAATGGTAAAATCAGGAATACTCATAGGTATGTTGGTCGATAAATTGTATAAATGTTTAAACAAACTCAATAATATACACATACTGTATATCACTGTCACTATTTGCTATCCGTTAATGTAATGTTTTTACAGTTTTTCATTTAATCTATCTCACACTATGACTATTGTATATAGTCTAAGAAGCATATGTGGTCCTCTGTAGCTCAGCTGGTAGAGCACGGCGCTTGTAACGCCAAGGTAGTGGGTTCGATCCCCGGGACCACCCATACACAAAAATGTATGCACGCACGACTGTAAGTCGCTTTGGATAAAAGCGTCTGCTAAATGGCATATTATTATTATTATTATATAGAATGGGCACACATATAGAATGGGCTCACGTGACATAAGGCATCCATCCCCGGCCTATACAGTTTCTTTAGGGAAGTCTCAGGTATAATATGTTCTTCCTGTCAACTAGTGCATTGCCAATCCCTTCTCAAAAAGAGCGACAAGGAGGCAGTCTTGTGCACTGCACTTCTCGGTAATCTTTACAAATCCGAATGGTCCTTCTTATCAACATGGCTATTTAATAACGCCGTCCTATTATAAAATGCGGAAACATTTTAAACCAATGTGATCGACGTCTTGTGGAGGCATTATAGACTAAAATGGGCTTTAGTCAAATGTTTATTTAAGATAGGGCCTATATAACGCAAGCGATGTACCCCTGCTGTTATTTCCCGGTTTCAGGAGATATCACGTTAAAATGTACAAATAAACGACTGTCATTTCACTTCAATCCAAGGGTTGGCTGTCATTATAATCTGTTGAGCAATAGGGCTACTGTAGCTACTGATACGTTGCAAATTCCTACAGGAAAATTGTTACCTTTTTAATCGCAAGACCAGACCGAGTAGCTACGAGAAGACAGGTTGTAGTGAGCTACTGTATCACGTGATCGTATCCAAACGTCCGTATTTAAAGGTATAGTCTCGTTTATTACTTGCTGCGAATCCATAACATAAAAACAAGTATTGCCTATTCAACAATTAGCCAACACATGTTGGCGTAACAAGCGCACAATGACTGTTCCAAATAAAGTAATTGGAAACATTTCAGCATGATTCAAGAATAAATCATCACAACTTTCTAGATTTGTGTCCTCTATATTCTATTATCAAATAGTTAATTTAATTGCTCAAAAAGAGGAAATCCATCCCATCCATGGCATGTAGGCTACAATAGAATGATTAATAACCAGTATGTTTTTATTCTCATTGCACTAATAGTCTGGTCCCAGATGTGTTTGTGCTATCATGTCAGATAATTAGATGTGCTTGCTGAAAGCAAAACAACTTTGGAAATCCGGCATACTTATTATTCTCCTTCCACTGCCACCTCTAGCGCCAAAACTGTAAAAGCTACCAACACTAAAAAAACAACTTTAAAACGTGCAGGCTGACTGTCTTCAAGTTCTTTGAAAAATAATTGTTGATACTACTTATAGCCTACTTTTCACACTACAATACATTTGCATAAATCCCAATCCATGCATTTTAATGGCCATGGGTTTAAATGGAGAGGATAGGTAAACAATTGAGCTGTTACTCCTCTAGAACCGTTAAAGCTAGAAACTCCAGTCAATCTTTAAAACGTGGAGACCAGTCTGGAATTGTGTGCTTGTATACAGCTTTTTGATACTATGTATACTTTTTGAACATAACTGTTATAAATTTGCATAAAAGCTCCTTAGATTTAAAGGCAAAATGTGGATTTGCCACTGCTCTTGAACTGTTTCAGTTACAAACACCAACCCAAAGTTGACATGTGCAGACTGACTCAACTTAGATTGCTTTTCAGAAGATTGTTTATACCACTTGTACTTTTTGAACTATAATAATTTTAAATCTACATAAAAAACTCCATAAACTTCAAAGGCAAATGTTGGATTCACCACTGCTCTTAATCCATTTTAGCTACAAACACCAACCCAACGTGGAAATGTGCGGACTGAATCAACTTTGATTGCTTTAACACAGTTTATTGCTACCATTCATACTTCAAAAACTATAAAGCTTGATATATCCCAATTCATTTTAAAGGCAGAATGCAGGTTTCAACATTTTAAACTGAAATCACTGCCACAAAACGTTCAGACATTGAGAGCTTAAAAACACATAATATGGCTTATGATGCTATAGTACTCACTCTATCCTACTATACTAGCCCACTATAACCCACTATAATAACTCCAAACCAACAAACCACCCCAAAATATGCAACTATAACTAACCCATAGCCTATGGAAAACCTATTACTACTACCATTACTACTGCTGTTGCTACGACTACCACTACTACTACTATTTCACAACCATAAACAATAATTTCAAGCACACACATTTACTTCAGGAAATGTCATTTTCTAGTTAATAAAAGTGATCTTTCAAGTAAGATTTGAAAACGTATGTTTGAAGAACTTTTTAATTTTAGAGTAATTTGAGAGTAAACTCCCAAAAGGCTTTATGTTACTTTGTAAGAGAAACAACCAATTGAAAAACAGCTTTTCTGGAAATGTGGACGTAACCTCAGTGGCCTCAATAGGCCGCTATAGCATGTTGCTGGGTCAGGGGTTTGAACAATGGAGCTAGCGATTCTTTGGGTTTGGTCAGGTATAAAAGAAAGGGTTAAACCAGGTAGGAAGTCAGTTCAGGAGCATCAACCATCAGCACAGTGAGCAAACATGTCCACCACCAACATGAACAGGGGCAGGGTAAGCACTGGGAAGGTTTTGAAAATATAAACCAATATTTTTATAGATTGGTATACAAAAGGGCTCTAGTGCTCTAGCACCACAAACTACAACATGAATGTTTGACTTATCCCAATATCCTGGTTACCATTGTGACTGAATAGTAGACTATCCCAAATTTCTCTAAAATGTTTCTTTCATACAATTGTTTAATTCATAGAAATTATTCCTTTTTATTTTCAGATCGTCTTCTACGAGGACAGGAACTTCCAGGGTCGTTCATATGAGTGCAGCAGTGACTGCAGTGACATGAGCTCCTACCTGAGCAGGTGCCACTCCTGCAGGGTTGACAGTGGCTGTTGGATGGTGTACAACCGCAACAACTACATGGGAAACCAGTACTTCATGAGGAGGGGCGAGTACCCTGACTACATGCAGCACTTTGGAATGAGTGACAGCATCATGTCCTGCCGCATGATCGCCATGGTAGGGTGAAAATATTTCAGCTTAAAATAGTCACATCTTGTCATTGAAAGTAAAACATATGTTGTTGGTTACAGTCTCAAGTTAAACAATGTTCTAAATAATTATCTCATCAATGAAACCTGTACTTTTATCCTAACAGCACAGAGGAAACTTCAGGATGAGGATCTACGAGAGAGAGAACTTCGGAGGTCAGATGCACGAGATGATGGACGACTGTGACAACGTCATGGGTCATTACCACATGTCCAAATGCCAGTCCTGCAACGTGATGGAAGGCCACTGGCTGATGTACGAACAGCCCCACTTCAGAGGCAGGATGATGTACATGAGGCCTGGAGAGTACAGGCAACTTCAGCATGGGCATGGGAATGGGAGCCATGGGCGGCATGAGTGGTATGAGGTTCATGAGCATGAGGCGTATCATGGATTCCTGGTACTAAATACCCTTAGCAAGTAAAGCCATTCAATAAAATAATTCACAAACCTATTAAATCTTTCTGTTTTTATATGTGACTAAAAATGTACCTACTGATTTCTTGTTCACACACCTGCATCCCTTGTCTTATACACTTACCTACATGTTTTTTTGACAGTGAAGCTAAGAATTAAAATTTCCAGCATTTTGGATTTGAGATCAAATGTTTCATATGATGCGACAGTACATAATATCATCTTTTATTTGAGGGTATTTTCATACATATCTGTTTTACCATTTAGAAATAAAAACATTTTACAGGTGTGCTCTCTTAATTTGACCTGTTGTGTCACAGCAACAGGATTTGAACATTTAGTCCATTCACGCTGTTCCGCCAATGTAATGTTCCTTGATTGGTGGTTAGGCTATTAGCTGGCCAAAATTAGGCTACATGAAAAGTGCAATACTGTTAATATAACTGTGTGTTAGTGCAGGTATTCAGTTAATTTATGTAAATCCTACAGCGCAGGAACATTCGCAGCAACAACAAAGTGATCAAATTAAGATATGACATATGTATGTATCTAGTTGTCACTCATTGTCCTGCAAAACATGCACTAGGCCTTGTATGCAAATTGTTTCAGTGCTAAAACTCTCAATGTTACATCACAGTTGGTGTTCTTGTAGCTGGACTGTCAGCCTCAGGACACTGACCCTGTCTGTGAGTTTATTTGTTTTGACAATGAGACTCCATGGAAGTAGCTTGGCAATGCAAAAGGAAATGATATAAACCAGCCAAACAGCATTTCTGAAATTGCTGTCAAAATGATGGTTAGGACATTGTTATTACCCTCAGTTACTAATATGTTTGGCACCAGTAAAGGGGTTGTTGAGTCCATTCCAAGTCTACAAGTCTACAAGTCTCTTCACGCTTTTGATCAATAGCTAATGTGTTTCCCTTTGTTGCCTAAGCCTAATAGGGTGTCGTCCACACATAAAAAAGGATACTTGTGAAGTACAAACACAAACACCTTTAACCTTTAGGTTTTTGGCTTGTGATTCCAGTTGTCGTTGAGCACTTGGCCATATCAGTGCTCAGCTATGTCCAGCTCTGTCTGGGTGTTGAGTGTCTAGGAAAGAGAATGTCAAAGCACCACGGTGGTGAGAGGTGTTTCTTTGTGGCACTGTGCAGCACACTTGGAATGTACATAGAGGTGGAGGTGGAGGCAGCAGGCTCTGATTCTTTCAGGTAGGCAGCCTGTTATCTGACCGGCTCGACCGTTCCCATCCCCCCGTTCTTTCATCTCATGAACCGTGCTGACAACCTCTGCACATCCTGTCTGTGCTAAGACACAAACACTACACTAAAAGCCCTAAAAAGTAAACGCCCACCTCAGGCACAGACAGCCACACCCAGTTAACCCCGCTCTGACTGACACACACGCATGCACACACACACATACACACAGTCAGACACACACTTACGCACTCACGCATACCACACACAGACTAAACAAAACAGACACACTTTAAAACAAACAAACGCACTGTGGGCGTACACCCCCCCAAGTCACTCTCAAAACAAACACCGGTTGACAGCATATTTATGTAAGTTAACATTACATCTTTACAAATGCTATATTTAGTTGCATTATGATGAAAAAAACAGTATTGTTATCTAAAATGTTACATTTTCTGATTTAGTCCGCGTGAATAAAGTGAAAGGCTATCATTTAATTTTCTTTCATCCACAAAAGGTGGGGGCCCTCCAAAGTTTTGAGCTATGTATCACAAGGCTCTTCCCTTGAAGCTGTCCATACAAGTTATTTATTTTTGTATAACCTCAGTTATGACCAAATTCTTATTTACAAGGGCGGTCTGGCATGTGGCGATGTGAGCACACTGACACTCCTGCTAATGGGCGTAAGGGCGGCTATTCTCTCATAGACACGCAGGCACTGCGACAATGCGGCCCTATGGCCCAGCCCCAAAGACAGACTACCATCTACCACCTGAACCAAGAGGCCAGCGGCCCGGGAAGATGAGGGGTGTTCTGGCACGGAAACAGCTGGTGGAGAGCGGAGAGGACATTCATCTGGAGGGGAAGACAGGATGGCAGGGATGAGAGGTTGGATAATAAAGCCTGGTATTAAGGGCGAGGGGAAGAGGGCTGTGTGTGTGTGTGTGTGTGGGTGTGTCTGGTCTGTTCACACTCTTTCTGTACTGTCTTTCAACCTAAGACAAGGTAAACAACTCTGACAGCATTTTCTACTAAGGTTACCTCTGATTCTCACTTTCCTCG